GAGTGAGACCCCGTCTCTACTAAAAATAGAAAGAAATTAATTGACCTCTAAAAATATATATACAAAAACTTAGCCGGGCATAGTGGTGCATGCCTGTAGTCCCAGCTACTCGGGAGGCTGAGGCAGTAGGAATCTCTTGAGCCCAGGAGATTGAGGATGCTGTGAGCTAGGCTGATGCCACGGTACTCACTCTAGCCTGGGCAACAAAGTGAGACTCTGTCTCAAAAAAAAGAATCAGGCTCTTTGGAGAAACAGCCTTTTCTAGGGTTGGCCCCTGGGACACCTTGTTGTGTCAAAAAGGAAGGAAATGTCAATGAATGATAGAAACATGTCAAATGAACACAAGAGCCAATTTAAAGACGCTCCCACTGGGCAAACCTGGGACACCTTTTTTCTTTTTTTCTAATTTTTATGGATACATAATAGTCATACATATTTATGTGGTACATATATTTTGATACAAGCATACAAAATCTCGGACATTTAAAATAAAATAAATAAATAATGCAATGGATTATAACTCACTGAATCAAATGGGCACGCATAAATTCATACTGATGTAACTAAACAGTGAAAAGAAAGCTTCTCCTTATAGCAGAATGCCAACTAACAAATGTATTAATAGAAGGAATGGTGGATATAAAGAGACCTGAGAGATAACAATGTGACCAGGTGATCAAGGTTAGCAACACAAAGTGTTGGGACAGGTTGATATCTGTGTCCCTCCTCATGTGACTTACTGAGAACATGGCATCATTCTGTAGTATTCCATTTAAGGATGCATAACCTGAGGCCAGGTGTGTGCATGTAATTCTAGCACTTCGGGAGGCTGAGGCGGGAGGATTGCTTGAGGTCAGGAGTTGGAGACCAGCCTGAGCAAGAGCGAGACCCCATCCACAAAAAAAAAAATAGAAAAATTAGCTGGGCATGGTGGTGCGCCTGTAGTCTCAGCTACTCTGGAGGCTGAGGCAGAAGGATCACTTGAGCCCAAGCGTTTGAGATTGCAGTGAGCTATGATGATGGCACTTTATTTATTTATTTATTTATTTTTACCTATACCAAGGCACTGCATTTTAGTAGCCACGCGACAGAGTGAGACCCTGTCTCAAATAGAAAAGGAAACTCTAAATGTATAAGCTGTGTCTGATGGTTTGAAAGCACCAAACCTAGGCTGGGAGTTAACCTATGGAATGTAAGGTCTGTATACTTTAAAACTGTCAACGACATAAAAGTCGGGAAAATACTTTAGAATTGTTTCCCACACAAGTCTGAAGAGACAGGACAACTTCCTGCCTGAAGCTAACTACCAGCAACTCGGGGATAGGAGCTCTGCTTTAACTGTCTCCACATCATCCCACCTCCAGAACAGGGCTTTGCAAATACTAGGTACAATGACCACGTCCCGATTAACTTTACAGGTCAGCCAAATGTCATCTAAAAACTTGATCACTTCACCGGCAGCAATGGGTAACGTCGTGTTAATCATGCGCTGCTAAATCTGGAGTTCCTAGCACAGGAGACGCAGTAAATTAACTGACCCTGAAAGGCCAGGATTGCTTTGACAACATAAGAGGAAGCGCCGAACTCTGGCTGGGGGTAGCAATGAAGCCTTCGGACAGCAGAGCGCCTCTGAAGTAAGGGGAGATCTCCGAACGGCTAGAATAGGCTAGAAACTCTATAGCACAGGCAGACACACAAACAGGAGTCAAGAAATAAATGCAAGGTGTTAGAACGCACGGCATCCCGGGCGCAGGACGCGCCAAGGGCTAAGCAAGAGCAAGGTACCGTCGCGAGGGGCCAGAGGGCCTACCCCTCCGAGGCGACCGCTCACCTCGCCCCGCAGCAGCCAGTCGCGGTGGTAGCAAAGGCGACCTTTGTTGGAACTGCGCAGAGCCTGCAGGGTCTCCCAGCAGCGACCCTCGGACGGCATGGTCCGCCCTCTTGCAGCTTCTGAGAGGCGCCGCTTGTGACAAAACAAGCCCTCGAATCGGCCGCCGGCGAAGGGGCGCTAGCTTCCGCTTCCGGGGCACGCACGCAACGCAGCACAGCCCCTCCCCTATCGGCCCCACGCCCCACCGCCGGCGGCGAGCCTGCCCATCAGCGCGCCTGCGCGCAGGGTCCGGCCGCTGGGGCTCGCCCTGCCGGGGGAGCGCTGGCCTGGGGGGGTCTCTGTGTTGAAGAAAATCGTACGTGCATTGAGGATTCGGGCAAACTAGAGCCCTTATACACCGTCCATGGGATTGTAAAATGGGGCAGCTGCTGCGGAAGAGTCTGGCAGTCCCCCATGTCTACGCAACGACTTGTACATACATGAACGTTCATAGCAGCGTTATTCATAATAGCCAAAAAGTGAAAGTAACCCGTGTGTCCATCAATTGGTGAATGAATAAAATATGGTGCTATATGTAGGGTTCCCCAGTTCCCTCCAATTTCTGTGTCGTGACTATCACAGACTGCCTTGATGTTCTCAGGCACTAATAAACGTAAGTTTTTGCCCGAAACACTGAAAGAAACTAGCCGTGCCCCTGAGACGAATCCCTCAAACTCTCATGCAAACTCCATACCTTGATCCCCCATCGCTGTGGACATACCTGGGCAGAAGACCCTTTCCCTCTCGCTGTCAGCCTGGAGAACTGCTGGGGCACTCTGTATGTAAATTCCCCTGGTAAGCGCTTTGGACTGATCACCCTGGCCCTTAGTGCTTCCTTGGAATCCCAATCACCCCATCTCCAGAGGGTTTGGGGCATTCCCTTGTGGGGAATTCCTCTGCAGCAGCTTTTGGGGCAATTCCAGTGTGGGTTGCCAAGAGAGAAAACAGTATATCCATATACTAGAATATTATTCAGCAGTAAAAGTATACAGTACTGATAACATGCTACAATGTGAATCCAGAAACATGCTAAGTGAAAGAAGCCACATAATGGATGATTCCATTTACATGAAGTGTCTAGAACAGGCAAATCCACAGAGCCAGAGACTGTGGTTGCCAGCTGGAAGATGGAAATGGGGAATGACCGCTTATGGGTTAAGTTTCCTCTCCAGGGTGATGAAAATGATCTAGAATTAGATAATGGTGATAGTTGCACAACTTGCTGAATACGCTAAAAACAACTGAAATTTATAGTATGTGAATAATATCTCAATAATGAGTCACAATTGCTCAGGGACCTGACTTTTTTTTTTCATTTTCTCCCTTCATCCAAGTGTTTTAATTATTATGGGTAGATAATAGTTATATATCTTTATAGGGTACATGTGATGTTTTGATACAGGCATACAATGTGAATTAATCAAATCAAGGTAATTGGGGTATCCAACACCTCAGTAATTTATCATTTGTTAGGAACATTCCAATTCCACTCTTTATTTTAAAGCATACCCTAAATTAATTATAATCACTGTTGTACTATCAAATACGGTTCATTGTATCTAACTATATTTTTACACCCATTAACCATCCCCACTTTCTCCCTGCTACTTTTCCCAACCTCTGGTAACCACCATTCTACTCTTTCTCTGGCTTTTTGACCCTTCTATCCCCATTGTTCTATGGGATCTCAACATGAGGTAGGAAGGATTCTCTCTGGAGTATGAACAATATGAACATTTTTCATTTTCTGAGTTTTTACAAACTCCCTGGACTTTTTGTGATAGAATATTTTACAAAGAAAAATAGAACATTGTTGGAAAAGTCCCAGCACTGGACTCCAAGAGAGGTGTTTCTCACACCAGAGTTACATAGCAGTGCCCTGCACTGAGACGGTGTTTCTCTAGTTTGGCAAAAATAATAATCAGTTGTACAGATATATATGCATGTTGGTGTAAATTTGCTAACTGTCCTTTCTTGGAAAGGTCTTTCCAATATTATAATTCAAGTCCATTTCTATTAAGGGTATGAAATTGGGCTTGGTTTTGTGGCAATGGTAGCTAGTAGAGTTTTAATGATCTTCCTTAGCAAGCTGGAATCTACAAATGTCCACAAAATGAGTGGGAGGGAGACTTCTGATCTTTAAAATCCAGGCCGGGCCTAGTGGCTCACGCCTGTAATCCTAGCACGCTGGGAGGCCGAGGTGGGCAGATTGCTCAAGGTCAGGAGTTCGAAACCAGCCTGAGCACGAGTGAGACCCCATCTCTACTATAAATAGAAAGAAATTAATTGGCCAACTAATATATATATAGAAAAAATTAGCCAGGCATGGTGGCGCATGCCTGAAGTCCCAACCACTTGGGAGGCTGAGGCAGGAGGATTGCTTGAGCCCAGGAGTTTGAGGTTGCTGTGAGCTAGGCTGACACCACAGCACTCACTCTAGCCTGGGTAACAAAGTGAGACTCTGTCTCAAAAAAAAAATAATAAAAAAAAATCCAGATGACTGGGTGGGGACCACTACTTAAGGACACAGAGGAATGCTCTAGAATTTTGGAATTGAATTAGAGTGGCTGAGAAATGACAAAACTGGATTACCCAGAAGGCCAAGAACAGCTGGAATGGAAAGGGTAGCAGTCAGCACAGTACCCATTTGTTCTCTTCTCTAAAGAATGTCTTCATTCTTTCTTTTTAGATACAGGAAAATGTGAATAAAAATGGCCTATGTTCTTATCATTCAGAAACTGAATAACATTTTAAAAGTATACTGTATACCATCCCATCCTCTTCCTAACTGCTAACATGGTCTGCCCCCAAACACTGAGCAATGCCTTAGTAGTCTGTTTCCTACAGACATCTCATGGATTATAATGTGAAAATGTACAAAGGAGAAAGAACCAACCTGAGCTAAAATGAAATGAAAAACAAACCTTACCTGTACCAAATAATTTAAAAAACATTTCCTGGCTCTCCTGCAGCATTTTAATCATTTTTGGAAGAGGGATGGGGGATGGGTAAAGAAAATCATCCAATGGAGACTTAAGTAACTGATTATAAAAGCTTTTTATAAAACCATACAAGCTTTTTATAAAACCACACAAATATTTCAAGAATAAATGAATTCCACAGATACAAATCAGGCAAAGAGAAACAAAAATCAATGAGATTGGGATTACACTTGTAAAGGCCAAATGGACACAAGCCCTCAAGGGTCCATTGTGAAATGCTTGGGGGCCAGTGGCCTCAAGAAGACTCAGGCATGAGAAGTTTGCACTGAGTTAGGGAAACACCACACCCATGAAATCAGAAAAAAAAGCAAGTGAACATGCTTACAGCCCGGAAGGAGCTCCTGCTGGTTCAGGTCAGAAAATCCAAGACAGAGATCCCTAAAAAGATGAGGGCTGTAAGGGGACTGGTGGGAAAAGTCCAGTCCAAATATTCTCTTGGGAAAGGAAGGAGCAAAGTCATGGTAAGTTAAAATCTGGTACCTGAATGTAGTAGTTAATTTAAGGGCTGTCTAGGTAATTAAGAAATCTTCAATTAGGCAACTCTATCAGGAAGGAGATACCCAAGTGCTTCCTGCTTCATCCCTGCTGCTTTACAGGACTTTTCTGGAGCTAGTAACTAAGGACAAGATCCTGAACACACTTCCTCACTGGGAGAGAGAGGGGAAAACGCACAGGCTTTCCAGCTATGGCTTGGCAACTGCTTAGTTCCCACCGCATCAGTCAGGGCTCCAGGCCCTAGACGGGTGACCTCAGGAAGGAGGAGATCGGGAACGGATGGGGGAGCTGGTCAGATAGGTGGCATAGGGACTGTCCCCAAACACATTGGCATATGACGACTTGAGGAACTGGACATAGTTCTGCATGCTGCGGTTGGTGCTCTCCGACTGCTCCAGGCGATCTTTCAGGTCTTGTAGCCGGCTCTGGTAGCGGCGGTCCACCTAAGAGGAGAAACAGAGCATGGGCAGAGTGTGCGACATGTCCAGAATAGCCAAATCCACAGAGACGTCATTAGGAGCTGCTAGGGGTTGAGGGTGAGGGGATTAGGGAGTGACTGCTAATAAGTATAGGGTTTCTTTTTGAGAATATTCTAAACTTAGATTGTACTGATAATTGCACAACTCTGAATATACTAAAAACCATTGAATTGTACAATTTAAATGAGTGAATTTTATAGAAGTTAAATGATATTTTAATAAAGCTGGGGATTTTTTTGAGATAGAGTCTTACTCTGTTACCTGGGCTAGAGTGCAATGGTGTCATCATAGCTCACAGCAACCTTAAACTCCTGTGCTCAAGGGATATTCCTGCCTTAGCCTCCCAAGTAGCTTTGTGCCACTGTGCCTGGCTAACCTGGCTAATTTTTTCTATTTTTTTTTTAGTAGAGACGGGGTCTGGCTCTTGCTCGGGCTGGTCTCAAACTCCTGAGCTCAAGTGATCCTCCCGCCTTGGCCTCCCAGAGTGCTAAGATTACAGGCATGAGCCACTGCACTCAGCCAATAAAGCTGTTTTCAAAAGGAGATCTGGCTGGTTGAGGTGGCTCACACTTATAATTCCAGCACTTTGGGAGGCCAAGGCAGAAGGAGGGCTTGAGCCCAGGAGTTTGAGACCCCCCTGGCAACACAGTGAGACAGTCTCTACAAAAAATTAAAAAAGGCCGGGCGTGGTGGCTCACGCCTGTAATCCTAGCTCTCTGGGAGGCCGAGGCGGGCGGACTGTTCGAGGTCAGGAGTTCGAAACCAGCCTGAGCAAGAGCAAGACCCCATCTCTACTATAAATAGAAAGAAATTAATTGGCCAACTAATATATACATATATATATATATAAAATTAGCCGGGCATGGTGGCGCATGCCTGTAGTCCCAGCTACTCGGGAGGCTGAGGCAGAAGGATTGCTTGAGCCAGAAGATTGAGGTTGCTGTGAGCTAGGCTGACGCCATGGCACTCACTCTAGCCTAGGCAACAAAGCGAGACTCTGTCTAAAAAAAAAAAAAATTAGCTGGGTGTGGTGGTGCATGCCGCAGTCCCAGCTACTTGAGAGGCTTAGATGAGAGGATCGCCAAAAAAATAAAAAATAAAAAGGTTCTACCTACCTAGGATATCTGTAAGGAATGAATGGGAAAGTGATTGGAGAAAAAGAAAACAATGTCATATTCATAAAAGCAACAACAAAACATCTGGCCCGACAAGCGCCAGGGAAGTTAAAATCTCCATCTGCCCCCCTCTCTCCTAGGCCCTCAGCCACCAGTCCGACTCACGTCATCACGGCTCCGCCGCAGCTGGCTGAGTTCAGTTTTGGTTCTGCTCAGCTGGGTCTCAAGGTCCAGGATTTTGTTCTGGGCTGCTCGCTCCTTGGAGAGTGCATGCTCCTTCGTTTGTTCCACCTGCACAGAAAGCAGAGAGGTGGGGCTTGCGCCCCTCACATGGGAAACACCTGGCAAAGAGAAGCCTGGGCCTCTCCCACTACCTGGTCTCACAGCACCTGCACAGGTGCTGGAAAGAGTTCTCTGCAGCCTCTCGGCAGGAGCTGACTATGCAACCCCGCTTTGCCAGCCCGCTCTCAATGCTCCATGACTACCACCTGAGTCCCAAGAAGGCCGCAATTAAATGAACAATCATCATCTGTAAAGTGTCATGCCCTCTATAACAAAGAGTTACTCATTCGATCCTTACAACAAATTCATAAGGCAGGTACTACTATATATGTCCATTTCTCAGATGAGGAAATAGGTGATTTTCCCAAAGTCACAGAGCTAGTAAGTAATGGAATTAAAACTAACCTGCCTCCTGGCGTCTTCAATGGCGCCCTCCAACTGCCTTGCCAGGCTCCCGCATTCCCGTGTTTTCTCCTCCAGCCGCAGCTGCGACTGGTGGATTGCCTCCTCTCTCTTGGCAATCACCTGTAGGAACTCGATATTCTGGGCACTGGTCGCCTCCAGTTTCCTAGGTGAAAGCAATCAGTCAGATCCTGCGCGTATCCCCACCTGTCTTGCTCCACCCCACCAGGGGGCTTCCAGTCACCCCTGGACTGGGGGTCTCATCATGCCAAGTATCTCCAAGGAAGCACGGAATAAAGCAAAGATATCTGCAGATCAGCACGGCGGCCGAGGAACGGTGCGACTGGAGCGGCTGGTTAGAGAACAGCGTGAAGAATGGGAAAAGCAAGCATAGGCTGTCCATGGCTGTGTTGAGTGTGCCTGTCACCATATGGAACACAGCAGCTTGCAGCTCAGGAAGGTGGTACCATTATTATCCCCACTTCAGAGATGAAGAAACTGAGTCTCAAAAGGGGCAAGTCATCGGCCCGAGGTCAGCACAGCTGGCAGGTGAAGTCTGTCACCAAAACCCATGCCCTCAATATCTACTATTTACTGCTACCCTGCTCAGCAAAAGGATCTCAGCTGGGGCACTCGCCATCATATGTGACCAGCCATGGGGCAGCCGTGGCCATCCCAACATACACACACTATCCCTACTGCACTTCTGGTATGCCTTCCCATTTAAGGAGCTCTGCAAGTCCTGTGGAATCTGGCTGTGTGTTCAAGGCCAGCAGGGCAGAGCAGAGGCAGAGACCACCTGGTTCCAGCCTTCCTACAGGCTGCATTAGCCACTGGGGGCACTTAAAGTCTCTTGAGGCCTCAGGCCCCTCACATTTGAGTCCCAGGCTGCACCAAGGCCTTTATAGATGCTAACTCAAGCTCTGAAGGAAAACAGGCAGGGGTCAAACTCGCAGCTTTGCCAGGTACCAGCAGTGCAATCTTGGGTGAGTCACTTAATCTCTCTCCAGCTCAGTCTCTTCCTATTTAAAATTGAGATAACACCAGCTAACTAATATAAATGCGAGACTATATTGAACATTTCCCTGTGCTAGGTAATGTGCCAAGCCTTTACCAGGATTATCTCACTGAAAACTCATAGTAACACCATTGGCTGGATATCATCCCTAGCATGATCCTTTTCTGGACATGAGGAAACTGTTGTGAAAGGATACAAAATTATAGCTGGATAGGAGGAGTGAGTTCTAGTGTTCTATGCTACTGTAGGCTGACTGTAGTTAACAATAATATATTGTTTCAAATAGCTAGAAGAATATTCAGTGTGCCCTGAACACAAAAAAATGATAAATGTTTGAGATGATGGATATGCTAATTATCCTGACCTGATCACTATACATTATTATGTATTATCTATTACATATTATGATAAATATCACAGGTATAGGCCGGGCATGGTGGTTCATGCCTGTAATCTTAGCACTCTGGGAGACCAAGGCAGGAGGATCGCTCAAGGTCAGGAATTCGAAACCAGCCTGAGCAAGAGTGAGATCCTATCTCTACTAAATATAGAAAGAAATTAATTGGCCAATTAAAAATATACATAGAAAAAATTAGCCAGGCATGGTGGTACATGCCTGTAGTCCCAGCTACTTGGGAGGCTGAGGCAGGAGGATTGGTTGAGCCCAGGAGTTTGAGGTTGCTGTGAGCTAGGCTGATGCAACGGCACTCTGAGGTTCCAAAGAGTTAAATGATTTGCTCAAGATCACCATGCTGGTTAAGTGGCAGAGCTGGGCCTCAAGGCCATGGTTCCTGATTCCAAAAACTGGTCTCTTCACGTCCAACTGCCTCCAGGCCCGTAAGTAACAGAGAAGAGTCAGATCAGAAAGGTCTTGGGAAGGACCCTTGGGAACAAAGGACAGAAAGAAGGGGAAATGCCCTCAATGGTGGTGAACTGGCTGCTCCACTGAAACCGGGGCCTGGCTTGGATCACGCCATTGCGAACATCCCCCAGGCTGAGCAGCAACCTTCCTCTCCCCCACGATGCTTACCACTGAAATGGAAGCAGCTTTTCCTCTGAGGTCTGCCTAGCACCTTCTAGGGCCTTGAGTCCCTCAAACACTTCCGCACACTAAGCACAAAGGAGCTAAGTGGCTGAAAGTCTCAGGTCCTAGGAAGAGGGCAGAGTTGGGACCAAGTGCCTCTAACCTCTCCAGTTCATCCACCTTCAGACTCAGCTGTTTATTTTCCTTCTGGGAAGCCTGATGTTTCTCTCTCGCCATCTCCAGCTTGTCCCCCTGATGTTCGATCTAAAATGACAGGAACACAGACTGGTTTATGAAGGAATTTCCAGGTATATCCCTCCATCTTCCCTGTGACCTGTCTTCCACACCAGGGAAAGGGGCACACTGCCCTCGGCAGGCGTCCAAGTCTCAATGCACAACCTGGAGGAGAGAGAACAGCAGGGACAGGTTAGGCCCAACTCCGAAGACAGAAGGCTTCCTCCCACTGGAGGAAGCCAAGTTCTTGATGCTGAAGAACCGCAACGACGCTTTCTTCATCAGGGAAGGCACTCTGGCCCAGCTGGGATCCAGGGCAGACATGAGAAGCCGGAAGTAGATGCAGACCTAATTGGCGCACGTGACAGACCATGGAGCTTTACCAGTTATGTCATTGGGCCCATTGATTTCATCCTCCCCTTAACTGGGGACACATGCAGGCAAAGCAAAGGAAATCTATCAATTCTTTCAGGCCGGCAAGTTTGAGAAGGTACCCAGACGGCTGCTTTACGCAGAAGCCTTAGACATCAGGACTCAAAAGGCCTTGAGAAAGCTCGGGTTCAACAGAGAAAGCAGGCAATTCACTGTGCACATGGGTTTGGGAACCAGATAGAGCTGGCTGAGTTCCAACCCTGTTTACTAAGTGTGAGCTCTGGGACGGTAGGGAACTACTTATCCCCTCTACGCTGTGGCTGCTTTCTGTGAAATGGGGAAAATAACGCACACGCCGCACCAAGTTCCTAGGAGATGCTGGAGCACACAGTAGGTGCTCAAAAAATGGTAGCTCCTTTTACGATCATTACAAAGAAGCAAGTCCAGGAGGGGAAGGGCCTTGCCAAAGGTCATAGTGCACAAGTGTCATATAATTTCACAGACATGACAGGCAATAGGTTGCTGCTAGGGGAAAGGGACTGCTTGCTTCTGTCTTTCAGGACAGACTCTCAGGCAATGGATCTGTTAAAAGAGTCAGGAGAGGCGGCTAAAGCAAGAGAATGATAGAAAAAAAGAAATCCTACAGCTTGGCAACTGCTGGCATCTCACGTCTGTGGGTAGGGGACTGAGGACAGCAGTGCCGGTGCCGAGGCAGGAGGAGACAGCACTCTTGGGGTGGGGCAACGGCAGGAGGGCCCCGTGGCTCCAGGCGAGTGACGGCTCCTATAACTACAATCACTTTGTGCAAACACGAGGCATTTGGCACACCAGACTTTTATTTCACAGCACTGATGATAGCTCACTCCTTTCAGAAAGCGGCAACCGAGAAAAAGGAAGTGGTCCTTCCTTGGGGGCGTGCAGCTCATCTTGGTAAGCGGGCCCCTGCTCGGGCCAGTTCGTGGGACCCTTTCTGCCAGTCCCTTACCCGGCTGCGCAGGTCTGATATGATGGCTGTGAGATCGATGTTCTTCCTCTCGTAGCCCTGCAGCTGGTCTTGGCACTCCGCCAGCTTTGCCTCTGTGATCTTGAGGATGTCAGGCAGTTGCTGCAGGTCAGCCAGCTGGGACTGGAACTGCCGACGTGCCTGGAGTGAGGAAGAAAGGCCCACCATTGGGAAGAGCCCCACTCACTGCTGGTGGGGCCAGTCCTTTGTATTTAAGGCAGGGCTGCCCACTGTCCCCAGAAGAGGATCTTGCAAAAGATCCTCCTCACAGGCCACCAAGCAGGTGTCCAGCTGCTGTCTGAGGGGACACACTTGGGCCTAACTTGCCACTTGAGCTTGCCATTCATTTATTCACCCATTAAGAATGACAACCATGTAGTAAAACACCAGGATCCAAGCCTTATGCAAAGAGCTCTCTGCAGTTGCTCATTTAATTCAGAAAACAACCTGTAAAATAGGTGCTACTGTCCCCATATAAGGACACTAAGGATCAAGGGAGCTAAGTTATTTGTACAAAGCCATTCAGCTAAAAACTGAGAAAGCCAAGATTAAAGTTTAGTCTAACTCCTAGGCCCCTAAGAAGGCAACCACAATGCTAAAGGCCAGAGGGAAAGGTAAGAAGTATGGGGTCTTAATCCCTCCTTATACTTAGCAAGGAGACTGAGGAATAGAGAGGGGGCCTGACTTGCCCAAGGTTATGAAACAAGTTAGTGGCTGAGGTTGGACTCAACCTGCCTCCAAGGTGACCATTAAGATGAACCCTATGCTCTGCTCTACCAAATCATCTCTAGAAAAATAAGGTTCTTCAGAAAGTAGATGAGAAGCATACTTTTGGTTAGCACAAAATAAAGATACCATACAGAATGAAACAGGCATGCCAAAGACCTAACATACCTGTGGATTTGTGTCCACCTGGATGCTCTAAGCAGGAGGGACTTTTGTTTTTTTAAGCAAATTGAAGAGGTGAAAGAAAAAAACCAGTAGGGGAAAAGAGGACAAAGCAGCAGCATGAGAGAGAAGAGAGGAACAAAGAAAGAAAGGAAAGAGATGCACAGGGCAGAGTGGACTGGTCCACCTTTGAGAAAGTTAGATCATCTTTGCTGTCCAAATCAGGTAGGGTCATTTAGTCCTCCAGGTAGGGTCAAAGGCAAGCAGGGGGACAGACTCACAGTCACCGAGTTAGATATTTGAATTGGGTAGGGGAAGGCAGCGAAAAAGGGGAGCAGTACCGCCTCAATTTCTTTGTTCATCTCATCTTTAAGGATCTTGTTCTCTTTGTCGCAGCGTTCTAGCTGGGCAGCCACTTCATCAGCCTCCAATCTGGTCTTCATCACCTAGGGACCAAGACATAGTAGGCCTCCTTGGGCAGAGCCGTGTTTTGGTGAAAACCACCTTTCACCCTCAAACCCTTCCTGGAAAGGCCTGGTAGCGACCACCCCCACCTGACGGGGACAGGGTGGTTGCTGCTCAGAAGAGCCAGGGCACCCAAGAGGCCTACCTGACTCTTATAGTTGTCAATCATTCCTTCATAGTTCTTCACCGATGCCTTCAGCTGCTGGACCTCTTGATGTGCTTGGTTGAGCTTGTCTTCCATCGGGGCAAAGCTCGCCTAGAAGAGGTGGCTCATGAGTAACCAAGAGGAAAGTTCTGGATCAGGTGTTGCTCCCACCCTCATCTCTATCCAAGGAACCAGCAAAGGAAATGATCCTACCCTAAACCACACAGCAGTTTTCCTGAGAGAGGCAAAGTGGGTGAGGGTTGGGGGTGAGACCCCTTAGGTGACCAACTCAAGTGAATAGAGATGCAAATAAAATGACCTCTGCATTTTCTTATTCCAAAGGCAATACATAATCATTAAAGAAAATGGAGACAAAAGCAAGACATACTAATCATGCTTAATAACTTGGGATATGGGCCAGGCACAGTGGCTCATGTCTATAATCCTAGGACTTTGAAAGGCCAAGGCGGGAAGATTGCTTGAGCCCAGGAATTCAACACCAGCCTGGGCAACATAGCAAGACTCCCATCTCTCCAAAAATTCGAAAACTTAGCTGGGTGACGCATGCCTGTAGTCCCAGATACTCGGGAGGCTGAGGCAGGAGGATCACTTAAACCTAGGAGTTTGAGATTGCAGTGAGCTATGATGGCACCACTGCATTCTAGCCTATGCAACAAAACAAGACCCTGTCTCAAAAAGAAAAAAAAAAATACTTGGGATATGACTATATTTCTATAGTTGTGTAGCTGTTTTATTTTTGTCTATGAGAATGAGATTATATTATACTTACTGCTTTGTAACATACTTTTAAAATGAATAATATGTTGTGCACTTCTCAAATCAATAAATGTGCTCCTATAACCCAAATAGTCATCTTGGATGGGACCATATAAATCATGTTATTTTAATAGAATAAAATGAGAAGTAGCTGCTTAAAAAGAGATAAAGCTCAAAAAACCAACCTGAAAAGATATTCATGAAATGTGGTTAAATGAGAAAAGCAAGAATAACAGATGGATGAATTGATGTGTGTGCTTAACTATTTATGTTAGTATTGGGGGAAAAAAACAAAACCTGGAAAAATATATATGCGCACAACTAACAGAGACCTTTACTTTTTTTTTTGTTTTTTTTTTTGAGACAGAGTCTCACTCTGTTGCCCAGGCTAGAGTGATTGCTGTGGTGTCAGCCCAGCTCACAGCAACCTCAAACTCCTGGGCTCAAGCAATCCTGCTGCCTCAGCCTCCCAAGTAGCTGGGACTACAGGCATGCGCCACCATGCCCCGCTAAATTTTCTATATATATTAGTTGGCCAATAATTTCTTTCTATTTATAGTAGAGGCGGGGTCTCGCTCTTGCTCAGGCTGGTTTCGAACTCCTGACCTCAAGCAATCCGCCCACCTTGGCCTCCCAGAGTGCTAGGATTACAGGCATGAGCCACCGCACCCAGCCCACTTTTTTTAAAGAGAGAGGATCTCTCTCCCTGTTTCCCAGGCTGGAGTGCAGTGGCATGATCATAGCTCACTGCAGCCTCTAACTCCTGGGCTTGAGCTATCCTCCTGCCTCAACCTTCTGAGTAGCTGGGACAACAGGTATGTGCCACCATGCCCAGCTAAGAGACCTTCACTTCTATATCACATTTCTGTAATATTTTAAACTTTTATTTTTACTTATGTTTAAACCTTTATATTATCTAAGTAAGCACACTTCTGTAAACATCATTTTGAATGGTCACACTGTATTATACTACACAGATGCACCATAGTTGAATGAAATCCCTAAATAATTGTTAAGACTTGGAGATTGTTTTTAATTTATCCAACAACAACACTGTAGCAAATGAGATACTACTACACTCCCATCAGAATGGCTAAAATAAAAAACACCAATGATTTGAAGCACTGCTGTGGAGACAGGAGCAACTATTAACTCTCATATACCACCGACTGGAGAATAAATCTGTACAGCTACTTTACTGTTTGGTAAAGTTTGGCTAAACTTATGTATACTGTATACTACTTTATAACCTGGCAATTCTACTTCAAGGTATATAACCAATAAAAATGCATCAAATAAGTGCAGTAGAAGATATATAAAGATGTTCACAGAATCACTATATAAACAACCCAAATGTCCATTGACAGTAGAATTTCACAGCATATGCTGCAAAAAAGCCAGGCACAAGAGTATATAGACACTTGGCTGGGCATGGTGGCTCACATCTGTAATCCTAGCACTCTAGGAGGCCCCAGGCAGGTGGACCTGAGCAAGAGTGAGACCCCGTCTCTACTAAAAATAGAAAGAAATTAATTGACCAACTAAAAACATACAGAAAAAATTAGCTGGGCATGGTGGCGCATGCCTGTAGTCCCAGCTATTCGGGAGGCTGAGGCAGGAGGATTGCTTGAGCCCAGGAGTTTGAGGTTGCTGTGAGCTAGGCTGATGATGCCATGGCACTCTAGCCTAGGCAACAGAGTGAGACTCTGTCTCAAAAAAAAAAAAAAAAGAGTATGTAGATACTATATATGAACTATAACCCACATACTACATATATACACACACAGTATATATACTAAATAACTATAAACTATGTATTATATATTCATTAAATAACTATAAACTATATCTAATATGTAGCTACAAACTATACTATATATCTACTATGTAACTACAAACTATATATAGTGTATATAAACTACACAAATCTATAAAGTTCAGAAACAGGCAAACTAATCTGTGATGACAGAAGTCAGGATGGCAGTAACCTCTGCAGGGGTGTGAGTAACCAAAAGATGTCACTGGGCTGTTGGTAAGGTTTGATCAGAGTGACTGATAGACAAAGTATGTTCACTTTATTAAAATTCTGTATCTTTGTGCTTTTCTATATGGTATTCTTCCTTAAAAATCAATCTTACTTAACAAGAAAAAGCAAAACCAGTAAAAAAATAAAAACCTAGATGTTATTACCCAGATCAATAAAAAACCAAGCTCATAGTCAAAGTTCATGTTCGGTGAAAAAAAAAAGACAAAAGTAAAATAAAAACCAAGCTCAAACCCCTCTGAAATGCAAGGCTGTTGAGGGGCCTCTCACCTCCAGCATCCTGGAAGTGGGTACACAAGAGTTTAAGAGCTAGGGCTCCAGGGTCAGACTCAGGTTCAAATCCCAACTCTAACATTTCCTAGGGCAAAGAAAACCTTGACCTTTTCCTTAAGCCTCAGTTTCTTTTTGAGATAGGGTTTCACTCTATCCCCTAGGCTGGTCATGAACTCCTGGCTGGAGGCAATCCTCTCTCCTCAGCCTCCCGAAGTATAGCTAGGATTATAGGTGTGCACCACTGTCCCTGGCTCCATATTCTTATCTCAAATGGAGATAATCATCACATCATCGGGAGGTTGGGATGTTTAAGTGAGAATTAATGCATGGAAAGGGGCCAGGCAGTGCCCCTGGAGTCCTCACGTGCGCAGGCTGAGTGCGTGAGTCAAGCACTTCACATGCATTACCACATTCTCCCAGGACCACGTTTCCTCTCACTTAGGAAACAGCAGCAATAGAAGATGAAATAAAATGTCTTGTCTAGTAAGAGGCAGAATCTGGACTTGAACCCAGGCCTTTCTGAATCAAGACCACTCCCTCTTAATGGTGCTTCTCCACCCCCACACCCCCAGCCCCTCTGAGGACTTTCCTGCTCATCTCTGTGCCCAAATGGGTATGCCCTGCCATTGGCCCCCTGGGCCCCACACAACTCCTGGGTCCCCAGCTCTCACTACAGACCTTCAGCCTCTCATTCTCCAGCTTGAAGGCAGAATACTCAGCAGTCTGACGGTGTAGTCTCTCCACCAGGCTGTCCCGGTCTTCCCGCATTTTCTCCTCTAAGGTTTGTTGTTGGTTAACAAGATCTGTCACTCGGCTAGAAGGTTGCAAAGAAAAAACAGAGAGAATCAATTCTGCAGATTCCAGGGTTCCATGGAGCGGGGCCAAGAGTTCCTACCCAGGCCACGACACACTGCCTGCCTGCTCCTAATCTCCACGCTGGGACACAGAGCCCTGCCTTGGCATTGCTGCTGTGGCAGTTCCATGCCTGTGTCTCACCTCCTAATGACATCTTTTAAGATTTGTCTCCCATACCACCCCCTCCGAGAAGCCATGTACAGTTCCACAATAAGTGATGACTTATTAACAGAAGTTGTCCACTCTGATCCTCCCAAGAGGGCCAAGACACTCCCTGAAGACAATGACCAGAGACATGATCCCTTCCAAGCTCCCCACGGCACCTCCCAGGATCTCAGCCCATTGGCTCTTGATGAGAGGACAGATTCCTGTGGACTGCGAGGACTCCCAGGCTGGAGGTCAGGGGTAATTGCCCGGGCATTCCTCTCCAGCAGGAACTGAGCACACTGGGCTTTTGCACTCTCGGCGGAGGGCCAGCACCAAGCTTGGCTTCTTCACGCACGGACTCTACTTAGCATAGGCGGGAACTGCAATGTGTGAGTGTGGGAAGAAGGAGCAAGTGCAGAGAAAGAAGCCAACTTGAGAACTGGCTGCCCACTCCTCCCTTGCCCCTCTGTCCCTCAGTCACTCAGCAAGACTTTCATCAATCACAGAGCAGAGGCTGTGGCCAGATAGGAGCCCTGGGCTCACAGATGCCCACTCATTTATCTTGACCACAGACCCATCACAAACCCTTGGCACAGTATGGGCTCTCGATATTGCCCAATTACAATCCACCATTAGGCAAATACCTACTGACCACTGGCTAGGCCCAAACACATCAAGTTGTTTTAACTCCCAAACTCCTACTCACCCTTAAAAACCCAGTTCAGACTTCTCCTCTTCAGGATGTCTTATCCCTAATCCCTCTTACCTGTACCATGTATCCTTCTACCTGAATTATTTATTTTCTCCTACTAGACAGAGAACTCTCTGAGGATAGCACCTAGGACGGGACCCAGCACATAGCAGGTTCTCAGAACAAGTTTGCTAACTTGAGTTGAATACAACAAAAGACACTTCCTCAGGGAACACTCTCCTGACCTAGGAGGCTAAGCTCCTCCTGTAACCTGTTCTTGCCCTACGGAGTACATGTCTCCTATAGCTCTATCTCTTCTTCCAGGATACAGGGCAGGGAATGCATTTGTCTTTTTAGTGCTGTAACCCTCACAGCCATCACTTGGCCTGGCTGATATGTGTTATGTGCTCAATATTTTTTTGAGACAGGGTCTTATTCTGTCACCCAGGCTGGAGTGCAGTGGCATCATCACAGCTCACTCAGCAACCTGGGCTCAAGTCATCCTTCTGCCTCAGATTCCTAGTAGTTGGGACTACAAGTGCATGTCATGAGACCCAGCTAATTTTTCTACTTTTTGTAGAGAAAGGATTTCACTCTTACTCAGGCTGGTCTCAAACTCCTGACCTCAAGCCATCCTCCCACCTCAGCCTCCCAGAGAGCTAGGATTACAGGTGTGAGCCACCAAGCCCGACCTTCAATACATAGTTGTTTCTTTTTTTTGAGACAGAGTTTCACTCTGTTGCCTTGGCTAGAGTGCTATGGCGAATATATAGTTTTTTGAACGAAGGAAGGAACAAATGAGAAGGACCAAATGGTCACTGCTGACAGTTAACCAGTGGCAACAAAGGTGTGAGTTCAGTCACTTGCAACTTGAGGCCACTTTTCTCCCTACTCCCATGCCACGCCACTGACCTAACTGACTGGCAGGCACTAACAAAATAGCTGCTGTCTCTGGGCAGACAACAGAGAGAAGACACAGGGGTCACCAGCTACCCTATTCTCCCAAGAACATGAATGAGGATACCAGTGTGCCCATTTTCCATGCTGGGTAGACTGGGGTCAGGCTTGGGCCCAGGCACTGGAATCAGACTCAGGCCTCTGTGACCAAAGAGGCTGGGTCCCTCCCTGATATCTGCTGGTAAGGTAGGACTCCAGGACTAGGGCTAGAGCCTTTGTCCCAGCTCTAACCAGAAAGCCTGGCCCAGGGCTACCTACATCCCAGCCCTGTGCAGCACCTGGCCTGGGGAAACCAAACTATAGCCTTGTGAGCCACGTGACCTGCCCTGGGTCACCAGGCACACCCAAGTCCCTCAACTGGACCACGCTCCTTCTCCCTCTCCAAGACATACTCATTCAGGACGATAATTTCCAGCTCAAGGTCTCCCTTGTCTTTTACAACTTGGTTGTAGCGGCTCCTCCATGATTCCAGAGTGGATAAAGCTTCAGCGACATAAAGATCCTGGGAACACAGGATAGTAGGACCTGTCAGCCTAGTGTCAGCACTGAGGCTGCAGGAGCTGGGAGCTGGGCTCATCCTAGATGGTCTCACCCTGAGAACCCAAACCGCACTCTGCAACTCACCTTCCTAGAGAGCACCAGGAGGGATAGTGGGAGCCCAGCCATTGCTGCTAGATTTCCAGCAGTCAAACACATCCTGCCTGGCAAGCCCTCCCTTAACCACCATTCTCCCCCACAACACTGATGTAGCTAAACTGTCTTACAATGCCTCCCATCATCTTTGGCCAGCAACCCATCCACCTGCCTGCCACTCATCTGATCCCCTTAATTCCCTCTCCCTCCACCTAGCCATCCATCTTGCCAGACGACCACCAGCATTTTCTATACTTATCCACCCACCTGCTACCCACCGTGCACCACCCCTCTGCCACCCCACCCAGGCCGGCCACCTTGTCGGCAAGTTGCACGTGCAGCTGCTCGGCGTACTCCTCGCTCTTCTCGGCTCGCTCCTTCTGGGCTCGGATGGCCTTCTTCAAACCCTCCTTGTCTCGGTCTCCTTTTTGCTTCAATTCCTTCAACTGCTCCATGATGGCCTCCACTTCCGCCTTGTGCTGATTCCCACTGCGCTCCAGGTTCTGGGAGGGGGAAAGGGGACAGGAAGAGGAAGGAGTGAGACAAGAAAGGTAGAGGGTAAAGGGGAGAGAGGGAGGAAAGAGCACAAAAGCAAAGAGAGAATGAGGGAGACAGAAAATAGGTCATTAGCTGTGTGTGAGCTCAGGGCTCCCCTAACTTGGACCAGAGACATGGCCCCTTCCAGTTCCCCATGGCGCCTCCCTGGAGCTCTCAGCCCTGGATCTTGATGTTAGGGCAGAACTCCTCTGGAATCCTTCCCTAAACTCCCAGCCTTGTGGTCAGATATTTCCTTAATTACTCCGGAGAGCTGTGACTTCAGAGGACCCCTGGGCTCAAAAGATGCAAGGAATATGTGAGACCATCCCTTCCCCTTGGGTAGTGAGGTGAATGAACCCCATCACTGTTGGGATCGAGACCCAACACCTCCAAGGTCTTTGTCCCCTGCCCTTGCTACTGTCCTAGTGTCTCTCTGAGGCCTGAGTATTTCAGCAGCAGCTACCCCATAAACCTTCAGGGCACAGACCCCGAGTGTACTACCCTGGGCCCAGCCACCAACTTTGGATTGTCATGCCCCCTGCCTCCTCCTTCCCCACTTGTGGGGCCAGCAGGTACCTTAATCTGCATGCACAGGCGACTGTTCTCGGCCTCTTTGCATCGAAGCTGTGCTTGCAAATGCCCACGCATGGACTCCATGGATTTAGAAAGCTCAGATGCTGTCTTTGCTTGAGCCTTTGGAGAGACAGAGAAAGTGACAGAGCCAGGATTTGAATCCAGTTCTCTGCATACCAACTATGCTCTACTGGTTCATTAAAAAACACAACTTCTGGGGACAGTACCTTCTCACATTGTATTTCTTGGAGGAGCTCTTCCACCTCCTTATCCTTGTCTTGCAGCAGCAACAGCAGGCGCTGAGAGAAAACACACTGTCATCCATTCCTGGGAAGGGCAAAGAGACCCAGCCCAGGGAGGAGAGAGACTTGGGAGAGCCTGGCCCCTGGAACCCAAGATGTCAAAGACAATGGGCCATGTCACAGAGACCCTGGTGGGAAGCCTAACATATGTATTAAAATTATTTTAGAAACAATGAAGATGTATTTATTTTGCAATTTTAAAAAAAGTAATGTTAATTGCAGAACACATTAAAGAACATACACAGAAACTTTAAAAAGCCCTATCCCTCCCCATCCAGAAATAACCTGTTAATACACATTAAAAGTGATATGCATGTTTTGTGCCACAACCTACAATCTCATGTTTACCACATTGTGATTAGATTTTCTACCTCTTTGAAAACAGCTGCTTAATATTTCAATTTACTAATGTATCATAATTTAACAAGCCCTCATGAGCTGGGAATTTGAGTTGAGGCATTATTGCCAAATCTTTACCCATTCCTCAGGTGGGCATTTTCCCCAGCGATGTTTGGCCAGGAACCAAGGGCTGAACATTGGGAAACAGGGCCTCTATCTTCTTTCACTGTCTTATAAGGGCATTAACACATCAAAGGCTCCAAAAAAGTCTAAGAATTAAGTGAAACTTTTTGTTCAGGCCAGCCAATAGTTTCCCAAATTTATTTGGCCATGGAACACCATCCCTTCCCCTTCCTGTTTCTTGTATCCATTAATATTGGAACATTTTGCTTTGGGAGTTTCCTAGAATTAGAATTGTTGAGTCAAAAGGTGTATGCTTTTTGATGGCTTTAAATCCATAATACAAATAAGGAAATGGAGATTTAACAGGCCCTGGTGATTATAAAATCCATCATCATCACCATCCTTCACGGCAGTGTCCAGCTTTGAGCCTCAAGCTCTCAAATGATCAACTAGACAAGCCTACTGGAGCTGGCAAGACAACAACATCCATCTTTTTACAGATCATGAACCTAAGACTCAGAGAAACGTTCCAGCCCTCCTGCCCCAATGCTGCCTGTACCCCCTAGAGCAAGCAGGTGTGCTTTGGTTACCGCTTTCTCTGAGTCCGCCTCTGCCAGCCGTTTCAGTAATACTCCTTGTTGCTCCATTAGTCTTTCAGAATCCTTCAAGGGAAGCAAAGGGAAAGCTAAGTCATTAAGCAATAAACCCAGATGTCTACATCCTATTCCTTCTTTTTCTTTTCCAAAATCTCTATTTCTAATTTTAGAAGTAATAATTGAATACATTCTCATTATAAAATAGTGAATACCAATAAGGCTAAAATCCCTCTTGCACCTACCTTCAAACTTGACCCTACTGGTATTAGTTTGGTAAGTGTCCTTCTCCACCTTTTTCTGTGCATATATAATATACCTAGAGAAATATTACCATTCTTTGGGGGGGGAGGGTGAGAGGGGATTAATGCATAATTTTACAAAAATGGTATCAGACTATATTTATGTATTACTTAATTTTTTAAAAAATAGCTTTACTGAGACATAAATTCAGATACTATACAATTCTCCCATTTAAAGTATATAGCATAAGGCCAGACATGGTGGCTCACACCTGTAATCCCAGCACGTTGGGAGGCCTAGCCAAGAAGATCACTTGAGCCCAAGAGTTTGAGACCAGCCTGGGCAACATAGTGAAACTTCATCTCTAAAAGAATTTTTTATTTTATTTTTTTTAAATTAGCTGGGTGTGGCGATGCATGCCTCTCATCCCAGCTACTCAGGATGTGAGGTGGGAAGATCACTTCAGCCCAGGAGTTTGAGGCTGCAGTGGGTGAAGAGCAAGACCTTGTCTCAAAAAAAAAAAAAAAGTGTATGGCATAGTGACTATAGTTAATGAGATATATTATTCTATACATGAAATTTGCTAAGAGATCGTTTTTATTTTTTTTTATTTTTTGAGACACAGGGTCTTGCTCTATCACCCAGGGTGGAGTGCAGTGGCATCATCATAGCTCACTGCAACATTAAACTCCTGGTCTCAAGCCATCCTCCTGCCTCAGACTCCCAAGTAGTTGAGACTATAGACATGTACCACCACACCCAGGTAATTTTTCTAATTTTTGTAGAAACAAGATCTCACTGTTGTTCAGGCTGGTCTCAAACACCTGGCCTCAAGCAATCCTCCCATCTTGGCTTCCAAAAGTACTGGGATTACAAGCATGAGCCATCATGCCCTGCCTGCTAAGAGATCTTTTTTTCTTTTTCTTTTTTTTTTTTTGAGACAGGGTCTCACTCTGTTGCCCAGGGTAGAGTGTAGTGGCATCATCATATCTCACTGCAAACACTCAGCCTCCTCAGTAGCTGGGACTATAGGTACACACCAGTGTGCCTGGCTAAGTTTTCTATTTTTAGTAGAGATGGGGTCTCCCTGTTGCTCTTGCTCAGGCTGATCTTGAACCCTGAGCTCAAGTGATAGTCCTTCCTCAGCCTCCCAGAGTGCTAGGATTACAAGAATGAGCCACTGCGCCTCCTGGCCCTGCTAAGAGATCTTTAAGTGTTCTCATCATAAAAAAAAAAAAAAAAAGGTAACTGTATAAGGTGACAGGTGACAGATATGTTAATTAGCTTATGGTAATCACTTAACAATGTATATGTATATCTAATCCTCATATTAAATGCCTTAAATATATAGAATTATACCTCAATAAAACTGGAAAAAAATATAATTCAATGGCTTTTGCTATGTTATTAATTTTTAATTTTTAAAAACTGGGTAAAATATATATAACATAAAAGCTTGCCATTTAAACTATTTATCAGCCTAAAATTCAGTGGCATTTAGCACATTCACAACATGGTAGAACCATCACCACTATCTAGTTCTACAACATTTTCATCACCCCAAACGGAAACCGTGTAACGTTAAGCAACCAGTCCCCATTTCCCCTCCCCCACCCTTGGCAACCACTAATCTGTCTCTAATATGCCACTGCATTTTTAATTTCTCCCCAAAACCTGGATGTTCCTAGGTTTTGCAACTACAAACACTGCAACAATGGACATTATTGGGCATGTACAAAGTATCTCTCTGAGAATGATACCAAAACTAGGAATGACGGGGTCAGGACTGTGATTTGGGGTGGAAATGCCCTGCAAAATGCCAATTCGTGGGCCCACGAGCAGGACGTGGGAGGCCTGGCTTCCCTACACTCGCCAGCACTGGATAGTAGCGAACCTTTCTGCCTGTTGCCAGTCTCTGGCAACACCATTCCTGTGTCTCCATTTGCATTTCTCCAGTTACCAGTGAGGCTCAGCATCTTCTCATGTCTCTAAGCCATTTGGGTTTCCTGTTGCCTGAATGCCTGCTCACACCTTCACCCACTTTCTCACTGGGGCTTACCTTTGTGACTGTCCCTACTCTTATTCCCTGGCACCTGTTCAGAGTGTCTCTTAAAGGAGGCTCACCCACCCTCCCATCCCCCCCTCAGTCTCACAGGTCCCCTTCACAAGCCCAGAGAAAAGGGCTCCCTAGTTCCCAAAGTTCCCTGGGGACCTAGAAACTGGCAGAAGACAGCATTGCAGATTCTCCAGCAACAAGAGGCAACGAACTTGGGACAAAAAGGCTTGGCCGGGGCCCAGAGACCAAAGCGGCTCTGACTGCCCTCCAGTGGACACTAAAACTGTTGCTAACTCTTCTGCCAACCTATGTGTGCAAACTCACCCAACGCCCCTCCTCGAAAAGCCGCACCACCACCATCCCTATTTTACAGATAAGGAAAGTGAGGCTGGGGATATGAAAGCAAGCTGACTGAGGTCACACAGCCAGAAATGGGCCCTGAAGCTGACTGGGACGCCACAGCCAGAGAGTTCTCCACCACACTGGGCACTCCCCCGTGAGCACCCAAGTAGGGGTGCAGCCCTGAGCGCCAGACAGGCACTGTGATGAGCCTGGACTGAGCAGGAAACACCCGTACCAGGTGGGAATTCTAATTATCAGACCTTCCTCTCCAACTGGAGATGGGGTTCCAGGACAACAGAAACTAAGACACAAAAAAGGAAAGAAACTGGGCAGACCAAGAAGTTTTCTGAAGGTACCAGTCCCAGGACAAACAGCAGCGGCACCTACTATGTTCCAAGCACCTATTATGTGCCAGGCAGTATGCAAGCCCCTTATCTATATATCATCTCCAATTCTCACACAATCCCATGTGCAAGATGCTACTCCCATTTTACAGGTGGGAAAACTTAAGCCCCGAGAGGTAAAAATCACCTCTTGGGCCGGGCACGGTGGCTCTCACCTGTAATCCTAGCACTCTGGGAGGCTGAGGCAGGAGGATCGCTCAAGGCAGGAGTTTGAAATTAGCCTGAGCAAGAGCGAGACCCCACCTCTACTAAAAATAGAAAGAAATTAGTTAACAAAAATATATAGAAAAACTTAGCTGGGCATGGTGGCACATGCCTATAGTCCCAGCTACCAGGAGCTAAAAGATTCTGACCAGATGAGTGCGTGAGCCACAAGGCTGATGCCATGGCATCCTAGCCCAGGCAACAAGTGAACTCGACTAAAAAAAAAAAAAAAAGAATCACCTCCTGAGATCATCCAGCCAGACATCAAAGAGGTATAACTATTTTAGAAAATAATTTGCCATACTATAATTATAGATATTCAGAACTCTAAGTACACCAGAATACGATGTCGTGAATGCTTAAAGTATCATTGCTTATGACATGCAACAACAAAAATAAAATAGTCTCTGGGGCGGCTGGCTCACGCCGAATCCTAGCACTCGGAAGCTGAGCGGCGATTTCTCGAGGATCAGGATCGAAACCACCTGAGCCAAACGAGACCCTGTCTCTACTATAAAGTAGAAAGAATGTAATGGCCACTAATATAAACTAAGAAAAATAGCCGGCACGGTGCCATGCTTGAGCCAGCTACTCGGGAGGCTGAGGCACAGGATTGCTGAGCCCAGATTGTGAGTTGCTGTTAGTCTAGCTGATGACACGCACACACTCTAGCCTGGCAACAAAGCGAAGAACTCTGTCTCAAAAAAAAAAAAATAATATAATATTATATAAGTAGTAAATAGTTGTCCATCCACAGAAAACGAAACATAGTGGCATAGCTGTATAAATGGAACATAGCAATGAAATCATTAGCCTAGACTTAAAGAATAAAAATGATCATAAAAATATTTGAGTGAAACAAACAAACATCAGAGAACATATATAGAAAAATCAACCATTATTATCATTTAAACATGCTAAACAATACTGTATGTTCCTCATGGATATATATATCACACCATAAGTGATTAAAAACACAAATCCCAGTTAGATTCCTTTGTTCTCTCCACCCACACTAGCTCACCTGTACTAGGAAAAAAGAAAAAGAAAAGATATAAGCAAATTCAAGAAAGATTCACCTTTCCAGGGAGAATAGATAAGATTAACGACAATAAGAGATATAATAAGAGATTTAACTATGTGAACAAAGTTTATTTGCTTTTTATCTTCTTTTAGGAAACTTTTTTCTTCTTAAAGTTTTTTGAGACAGAACTCTCACTGTCATTATGTAGAGTGGCCGTGCACAGCCTACTCACAGCAACCTCTAAATCCCTGGCTAGATGCAATCCTCATGCCTCTGCCTCCCAAGGTCGTGGGACTACAGGCACAGCCACCACACCACAATTTTTTCTATTTTTAGAGAGATGGTTTTGCTCTCCTCAGGCTGGCTGAACTCCTGACCCAACCGATCCCCACCAAGCATCCAGCCCCAGAGAGCTGGGATTACGACTGTGCCCAGCTTGAGAAACTGTTAGTTTCAGGCAAGTTATTTTGAAAGTTGCAGTACTATACACTTATATTATTTTAATTTATATCACTAACATATTTAAAAAATACCAAACAAGAAATGATCCAATGATAAAATAAAAGGATGCAAACTAAGAAATAGTCATCATTTATCAGCACTGCATTTGGAGACTGTGTATCCTTTGCTTTGAACAGGAAGACAAATTTATTACTGTCAGTCTTCTAACACTTCACTATTCACAATACCAAGATATGAAATCAACCTAAGTGACCATGAAAGATAAATGGACTAAAGAAAATGTAGTATATTGGCGGGCACGGTGGCTCACGCCTGTAATCTAGCACTCTGGGAAGCCGATGACTGCTCAAGGTCAGAGTTCGAAACCAGCCTGAGCAAGAGGAGACCTGTCTCTAACTATAAATAAAAAAATGGCAACTAAATATAAAAAATTAGCCAGGAATGGTGGAGCATGCCTGTAGTCCCAGCTACTTGAGAGGCTGAGGCAGGAGGATTGCTTGAGCCCAGGAGTTTGAGGTTGCTGTGAGCTAGGCTGATGCCACGGCACTCACTCTAGCCTGGGTAACAAAGCAAGACTCTGTCTCAAAAAAAAAAAAAAAAGAAAATGTAGTATATATGCACAATGGAATGCTATTCAAGCCCTTAAAAAAAAGAAATCCCATCCCTTGTGACAAACCTGGAAGACATTACATTAAGTGAAATAAGCCAGGCACAGAAAGACATATACCACACGATCACATTTATATGTGGACTCTAAAGAAGTTGAACTCATAGAAGCAGAGAGCAGAATGGTGGCTGCCAGGGGCTAGCAGGGAGAGTGGGGGCAAAGGACTGGATTGGGGAGATGTCGATGGTCAGAGGATATAAAATGTCAGTTACACAGGAGGAATAAGTTCAAAAGATCTATTGGTCAACATAGTGACTACAATTGATGTATTGTACATTTGAAAATTGCTAAGAAAGGAGATTTTAAGTGTTCCTTCCACAAATACATAAGTATGTGAGGTAATGCATATGTTAATTAGCTTGATTTAGCCATTCTACAACATATAATATTTCGAAACATCATGTTGGGCCTGGTGAAGTAGCTCATGCCTGCAATCCTAGCACCTTGGGAGGCCAAGGCAGGAGGATCCTTTGAGGCCAGGAGTTTGAGACAAGCATGGGCAACATGGCCAGACCTCATCTCAACAAAAAATTAGCCAGGTATAGTGGTATGTACCTGTAGTCCTACCTACTAGGGAGGCTGGGGCAAGAGGATCTCTTGAGCCCAGGAGTTCAAGGTTACAGTGAGCTATGATTGTGTCACTATACTCTAGTCTAGGTGACACTGTGGGACCTTGGATCTTTTTTTTCTTTTGAGACGGTATCATCACAGCTCACTGCAACCTCAAACTACTGGTCTCGAGCAATCCTCCTGCCGCAGCTTCCTGAGTAGCTGGGACTACAGGCACATACCACCCATGCCTGACCAATTTTTCTATTTTTTCTATTGTTTTGTAGAGACAGTGTCTTGCTCTTGCTCAAGGTGGTCTCAAACTCTGGACCTCAAGCAATCCTCCCATCTTGGCCTCCAAGAGTGCTAGGATTACAGGCATGAGCCACTGTGCTCAGCCAAGACTCTGACTTTTTTTTAAATTCAAAAAGGAAAAAAAATTACAGTTGCCCCTTGATATCATAGGTGGTTGGTTCCAAGACCTTGTGTATATACCAAAATTCACAGATGACAGATGCTTAAATCCCTGATATAAAATGGTGTAGTATTTGCATATAACCTCTCATATACTTTTTGTTTGTTTGTTTTTTGGGATAGGGTCTTACTCTGTTGCCCAGGCTAGCATGCAATACCGTCATAGCTCACTACAATCTCAAACTCCTGGGCTCAAGTGATCCTCCTGCTTCAGCCTCCTGAGTACTTGGGACTATAGGCATGTGCCACCACACCTGCTAACTTTTTAAAAAAATTTTTTGTAGAGACAGGGTCTCACTATGTTGCCTTGGCTGGTCTTGAACTCCTGGGCTCAAGCAATTCTCCTGCCTCAGCCTTCTAAAGCGCTAGGATTATAAGTGTAAGCCACCATGCCCAGCTCTTTCATATATTTTAAATCATCTCTAGATTATTTATAATACCTAACATAGACCGGGCACAGTGGCTCACACCTGTAATCCTAACACTCTAGGAGGCCAAGGTGGGTGGATCGCTCAAGATCAGTTCAAGACCAGCCTGAGCAAGAGGGAGACCCCGTCTCTACTAAACAATAGAAAGAAATTAAGTAGATAATTAAAAAAATATATATATAGAAAAACTTAGCCAGGCATGGTTGTGCATGCATGTAGTCCCAGCTACTTAGGAGGCTGAGGCAGGAGAATTACTTGAGCCTAGGAGTCTGAGGTTGCTGTGAGCTAGGCTGATGCCATGGCACTCTAGCCCAGGCAACTGAGCCAGACTCTGTCTCAAAAAAAAAAATTAAAATTAAAAAAAATACCTAACATAGTATACGTGCTATATAGTTATTATACTGTATTGTTTAAGGAATAATATTAATATCAAGAAAAAAATCTATACATGTTCAGTACAGATACAATTATTTTTCCAAATATCTTCAATCCACAGTTGGTTGAATCCATGATTGCAGAACCCACAGATATAGAGAGCCAACTGTATCTGCTAACACATAATGTTTCAAAGAATATCTTTTAAGAAAAAAAAGTGATACCATACAATTTGTGTCCACCAGCCATTAATCATTCTTACATTTAACAAAAAACTCAGGTCTGGTACTCTCCCTTCTTTGCCCTACGCCCCTACAATGGGCTGAACCCTCCCAACTCCCCATTGCCCTTCTCCTGACTTTCAGGGTTTTTCCTGTGCTGCCTGGCCCAGCTTCTACCACAACTAAGACGGCACCCCACTAGATGCTGAGCACTTTATGTGAATGATTTCACTAAATCTCTCTGAGTCGGGCACCAATAAGTATTTTTTCCTTACAGACAAAGAGACTGAGGCTCGGAGAGGACACACGCAGTACTAGAGGAGTGGAGCTGAGTCTGGGGGCCCAAGGGTGCCGCTGGGCCAGGAGCTCACCTCTTTGCAGTGCTGTTCCCTCAGCAGGTCCCGGAGGGTGCGGTTGGTCTCTTCAAAAGTGCTCAGCTTCTGCAGGAGAAGTTCTTTCTGCCTCGTTAGGGTGTTGATGTCCGTGCAGGTCATTTGTTTCTCCTGGAAGACAAGCAGGCAGTCTTACAAAATGCAGGGGGAGAGGGGCAGGCCCCATGTGGGACCCAAGAGATGCTGGTGCCAAGAAGCCCAGGCAAGAAGAGCCAGGCTGTGTCCAGGGCCATGGTGGTCAGGGGCAGGCTTCCTGGAGGAGGTGAGTCTGGAAGGCAGGGCAGGAGCTGAGCCTACTGAGGTCAAGAGGCAGAGAAAGGAGCGGGCAGACTCACGCGTTAGTGTGGTTAGGCTTCCTGGAAGGAGGCAAAAGAGGATGACGACACCTGGTGGCTGATACTTGCAGAAATCAACCACATGCCTTGACTCACTGTGATCCCAGGCCACCCATGATGTGGTCTCCTCAGAGGCCCTGGCCACCAGAGGTCAGCTTCAAGGGTCAAGGACCGGGAAATGAGAGTGGTGGGTGGGGGCCTAGGAGGTAAGCGCGCCCCCCCCCAGCCTAGAGATGTCATAAAGTCTGCCTGATGACTGCGTAAAGACCCCACCCCAGCCTGCAGCTGCCTGCCCTCTGGGCCCAGTCTGGGGGCTGGGTGGTTCTGCCTGCCACCTACTGTTTTCAGCTTCCCGATGGTATCCTTCAAGGCCATGACTTGCTTGGCGGCGGCAGCTCCATCCATTTCAGCCTCTACCAGCTTGGACATGAGGCACTCCTTCTCCTGCTGTAGGTGTTTCTTCTGAAGCCTGGGGCCAGAATGATAGGGCTCCGTGAGCCCTACCAAGCCCCTAGCAGGCCCAGAGCTCCGAGGCTCGCCTCATAATGCCCTGCGAGGCTCAACTCCTGGCAGGGAACGGTGGGGGAGGGGGCAGAGATGGCCTTTCTGGCCCAAGTGGCCTTTTGGAAGGACCGGGGCCAGAAGTCACATAGTCTAGGCACCAGACCAGGGCCTCCACACCAGGTAACATTATGCTACCTGTGACCCTGCTTGTCTCTCCAACAACCACCATGGTCACCTCTGCCCCCCACTACTGCTATAGCCTCCTAACCACCCTTTTCAGATCCGATTTTGAGCCCTTCCATCTGCTCTCCACACTGGAGCCGAGTCTGGTCACGTCATTCCCTTGCTTTTACAACCTTTCCAAGGCTCTCCAATGCCCTCAATGCACAGGCCTCGAAGTGGCTGCTAAGAGCTGGCCCCCTGCCAGCCTCCCTGCAGGCTTCCTTCTGCCCACCTGCTCTGGCCTGCTTCCCATTTCTCAGATGCACTCGCTGCCCCACCTTGGGGCCTTCCCAGAGACATTCCTACCAGGTAGCACCTTCCTTCCCAACACCCACCTGCCTAACTCTTAGCCAGCCTGCAGGACTCCCGTAAATGTCACTTTTCCCAGTAGTTTCCTGAATACAGCTGCCCCACACCTTTCCCCGCCCTGTCCCACTCTGTGGGGTCCTCCTTTTCCCTCAGAGTATGACTCATGAGCACAGTCAGGTAATTAGCTGTGTGAATGTCATGAATAGGCTCCAGGACATAGGGCCAGTGCCAGTGCCTGCTGCCTCTGGGCTTGGGGCTTGGGTCGGTCGGGCAAGAAGGAACTCTGTGGAGGCAAGGTGGGCGCCGCCTTACATGGTGAAGTCCTTCTCCTCCTTAATGCGCTCAATGTTGTGCCTTAGCACTGTGTTCTCATGCTCAGTTTCGGCCAGTTCCTGGGCCACTTCCTCCAGCTCCTCTTTTCGTTCCTCCAGGAACCTTTTGGCCATTTGGCGCTCACCCTTCTGCATTTTAACCTGTGCAAAGGCACACAGGCAGGGGCCACTGAGGGGAGGTTCTTCTGCTCCGCCACATTGCTGGACACAATGCTGTGGACAAATACAAGGCCTCCTCCAGCTGGGAGCTACAGGCCCAGTGCAAGTCCTTACAGGTTTAATCATTACAAAGACCTATTCTCCAAGGAGACTCTATTTCTCTCCTCATTTTGTGGATGAGGAAACTGAGTACAGAGAGCCTGCATAACTTGCTGGCTGGGGATAGGGCCCAGTTGCACACCATGGTTTGGGTGGCACACCCAGGGGAAGAGCTATCTCTGCCCTGTGGGCTATGGGGAGAGAAGGCCTGTTGCCAGGCAGCCAGCCCTGGATTTTCCAGGAGGGTCCCCAGACCCTGAGTACAGGGTGGAGGATTAAAGACACACATCATGTTAGCAGTCTGGATTTTAATGCTAGCTCTGCCAACTTCCTAGTCGGGGACCTTAAACTTCCAAGTTCTGTTTCTAATTCCATTACCACATCTTACCCCAAGACACAGCTTAGCAACTGAGGACAAACTTACTTTCTTTTTTGAGACAAAGTCTCACTCTGTTGCCCTGGCTAGGATACAGTGGCATCATCATAGCTCACTGCAGCCTCAAACTCCTGGGCTCAAGCAATCCTCCTACTTCAGCCTCCCAAGTAGCTGGGACTACAGGCACATGCCACCACATCTCGTCAATTTTTCTATTTTTAGTAGAGATGGGGTCTCAACTCTTGCTCAAGGTTGTTCTCAAACTCCTGAGCTCAAGCAATCCTCTTGCCTCAGCTTCTCAGAGTGCTAGGATAACAGGTGTGAGCCACTGTACTCTCAGCCCTGAGGGCAAATTTACTGTGTCTTTGGGGCTTTGTTTCTGTCAAACTTTTTTATAAAATGGAAAACATAGGCCCCAGTTTCCCAGTTACTTCATTTCTATAATGGAGACAATAATACCACCAGCTTTATCCGGTGGTGTAAAAAGTCAAATCAGGCCCTCTACACAGAACACCAGGGCAGTTGAGTGCTTGATAGCGAGGGCCCTTGTCAGTGTGGTGGTCCCAGGCTACCCTAACTACCTCCCCTGGTGGGGGCATCCAAACTCCTGGACAACCTTGCTGATAAGGGCAGGAGGCCTGCAGAGAGGCAGGCAGAGTAACCAGAGAGAGAATCTACCTGGGTGGTCCCACACAGCCTAAGTTTACCACCTCTCCCAGCCCTCTCACCTCAGACTTGAGACAACCAACTGCATTCATTAGACTGTCAATCTTCTTATCATAATGGTTCATTTTGCAGTGACCGGAGTCATCATCTTCCGTAGAGAGGTCACTCAACCGCATCACTGAGACCAGCTTTTCTGAAGATGGTGGCGTGACTTCCAGGCAATGAGGTGGATTCTGATGGAGGGAGGGGAAACACATGTACTCATAAGGCAAAACCTTGACTATGAGGACCACCACCACAGCTCATTCCCCTGGAGGGTTAGTTAATGATTAGGCAGGAAAAGTTAAACCAGCTAATCACAGGAACCCCGGGATCAGTAACACTCTGAACCCCCTGATGGAACATTACTTATCCATGTTTAAATGATGTGTTTGAAGAATCCTAGCATTGAAATAAAAAGCTTGAGTTATAATGTTAAGTTTAAAGTAAAGAATATAACACATTGGCAAAAATAGTAATACCCAAAGTTGGCAAAAATTTAGGGAATAGATGTTTTTTTTTATGTACCTACTGTAGAAAATGAAACATGTCAAAAGTCTTTTAAGGCCAGGCTTGGTGGCTCACGCCTGTAATCCTAGCACTTTGGGAGGCCGAGGCAGGAGGATTGCTCAAGGGCAGGAGTTTGAAACCAGCCTGAGCAAGAGCAAGACCCCATCTCTACTAAAAATAGAAAGAAATTAGTTGGCCAACTAAAAATATATAGAAAAAATTAGCTGGGCATGGTGTAGTCCCAGCTACTCGGAGGGCTGAGGCAGGAAGATCTCCTAAGCACAGGAGTTGAGGTTACTGTGAGCTAGGCTGACACTCTAGCCTGGGCAACAGAGTGAGACTCTGTCTCAAAAAAAAAGTCTTTTAAATGAATATGAATGCATGATAGTGGATTAGTTACAAGGGTAGATGAATCTGCTGAAAAAGGTATCATAGGCTTTTTGGAGGGCAGCAGTAGAGACTATGGACACTGCCCCAGGAGCGGGAACTGTCCTATCCCCTCCTCTTATATTTTGAGTTACAACCAATAAAGGCCATTTCTACTGTGTTAAAAAAAAAAAAGGTATTAGAGGGACAAGTGGGTAAATTTGAAAATTGACCAGACCAGATATATGATATCTAGAAATGAAGTTCTTGAGATTTATCGTTGTTATTTTGATTATACAGAAAATATGGTAGGAAGTCTGCAAAATACTTTTTAAAACATATCAGTATAAAAAATATTTTTAAAAAATGCATGTATGCCTCAGAAAAGTTTATGCAAATCTGTATGAAACTTTGCTTTTAAGACCCCAAAAAGAAAGATATAATCTGGGGGCCAGGTTTTCCATGGGTTTTTGATATTCTGTAGGTTTATTCTGATATATTAATTGTTATTTCTCATCACTTATACAGTTCCTTGCTTTTTTTAAACGGAGGTGGCTAAGCTTCTGTGCCAATTTGCAGAGGAAGGTGGTGGCCACCAGGAATAAAAAGAAGTGTTCACTTAAGGACATGAATGACACAGTGAACAAGCAGGACTCAGAGGGTCCAAGTAAGACAAGACATGGTCTTTGTCCCAGCAATTCTACTTCTGGAGATTTATTAAGCATATCTAAGTACATGAATCAATACTTAAATCCAAGGCAAGGATATAGCTAAATGTATAACAAGATAGAACTGGTTGATTACATAATGGCACAAAATGTATATGCAATGGAATACTTCCTTAAGAAAATAATGTACAATGTAAATATAGTCAAAATATGTTAAACAAAAGAGTGTTATGTAGTGATACAAAATAGATCCCATTCTTACTGAAATGAAAGAATGAGTCTATTCATAAGAAAAGTCAGGAAGGCTTCCCACCTAGAATTTACATGAGTCTTCTCAAGGTGGCAGGATCAGAGGTTTTTTTTAATTTTTTTCCTTGTGCTGATTTGGATTTTCTAATTTTTCACAATGACTATATATTGCTTTTATTTTTGAAAAGGTATTTTTAATATTTAAAAGGAAGAAAATAGGAAAATATATAGACAGTATGATTATAACTACAGTCACATACTGCACAACGATGTTTTGGTTAACAATGGACCATGTATACAACAATGGTCCCCTAAGATTATAATACTGTATTTTTACTGTACCTTTTCCATGTTTTTCTTTTTAAAATATGAAATACTTCATGAATTTGTGTGTCATCCTTGCTCAGGAGCCAGGCTAGTCTTCTCTGTACTGTTTCAACTTTAGTATATGTGCTACTGCAGTAAGCACCTTTTTCATCTTAGGTATGTTTAGGTACACAAACACCTACCATTGTGTCACAATTGCCTACAGTATTCAGTACAGTACATGCTGTATAGGTTTGTAGCCTAGGAGTGATAGGCTACACCATATAGTCTAGGTATGTAGGGGGATATACCACCCAGGGGTGTGTAAGTATACTCTATGATATTTGCACAAAGATGAAATTGCCTAATGACACATTTCTCACAACATATCCCCAAAATTAAGCGATATATGACTGTATATTTAAAAAACAACAAAAAAAATGCACAGGAGAAAGTGTGACAGTAAATGTACCAGGACACTGGCTACTCCCTATGACAGGCAGGCAGTGACAGAAACAGGCCAGAGGGCAGCTTCCAGGTAGCTAAGTGATGGTTACACAGGTGCACTCAGCTTATAAAAACTCATCAAGTAATATACTTCCGATGTGTGTACTTTCCTGTAGTTTTCAACAAAAAGTTTTTTGGTTTTTGTTTAATAGAGATGAAGTCCCGCTGTGTTGCCCAGGCTGGAGTGCAATGGCAATTCACAGGCGTGAACATGGTGTACTATAGCCCAGAACCAGGCTCAAGCTGTCCTCCCACCATAGACTCCCATAAAGCTGGGACTATAGGCATGCACCACTGTGCCCAGCTCAACAAGAAGTTTTTAAAACTTAATAGCAGGCCGGGCGTGGTGGCTCACATCTGTAATCCTAGCACTCTGGGAGGCCGAGGCGGGAGGATTGCTCGAGATCAGGAGTTCGAAACCAGCCTGAGCAAGAGCGAGACCCCTTCTCTACTAAACATAGAAAAAAATTAATTGGCCAACTAAAAATACATAGAAAAAATTGGCTGGGCACACTGGCACTCTGACTCAAAAAAAAACAAAAAAAACTTAATAGCAGGCCGGGCGCGGTGGCTCACGCCTGTAATCCTAGCACTTTGGGAGGCCAAGGCGGGCGGATTGCTCAAGGTCAGGAGTTCGAAACCAGCCTGAGCGAGACCCTGTCTCTACCAAAATAGAAAGAAATTAATTGACCAACTAAAAATATATATACAAAAAATTAGCCGGGCATGGTGGCACATGCCTGTAGTCCCAGCTACTCGGGAGGCTGAGACAGTAGGATCGCTGAGCCCAGGAGATTGAGGTTGCTGTGAGCCAAGCTGACACCACGACACTCACTCTAGCCTGGGCAACAAAGTGAGACTCTGTCTCAAAAAAAAAAAAACTTAATAGCAGCCAGACTTGTATAGTAGAATAACAAGTGATTACTTATTTTTCTGTATTTTAAAACTCCTATAATAAAAATAGATCACTTTTAATAATAGAGGAATGAAAAAACCTAGACTTTCTTTCTCTCAGAGATGATCTTACTTACCAGAAAGAGTTTTTTCCTTTTTTTATTGAGACAGAGTCTCACTTCATTGCCTAGGCTAGAGTGCTGTGGTGTCAGCCTAGCTCACAGCAATCTCAAACTCCTGGGCTCAAGCAATCCTTCTGCCTCAGCCTCCCAAGTAGCTAGGACTACAGGCATGTGCCACCATGCCCGGCTAATTTTTTCTATATATTTTTAGCTGTCCAATTAACTTGTTACTAGAGACGGGGTCTCACTCTTGCTCAGGCTGGTCTCAAACTCCTGAGCTCAAATGATCCGCCCGCCTTGGCCTCCCAGAGTGCTAGGATTACAGGCGTGAGCCACCGCGCCCGGCCCAGAAAGAGTTTTAAGAAATCAAACAAGAATCCTACATGCACACAGCAGCTTCTAGTCTCAATTTCCAGATCCACCCCGAACTGCCACCTCCTAGGGCCTTTCTCCTTTTGTCCATAATAAACAGGGTTCAGGTTAGGGCCACCCAGGTATACAGGAAGACACTGAGAAGTAGAAAGGGGTAGGTCCGAGAGAGAAAGCAGGAAAGATAGCTAATGCTTGAGCTGTTCAGAGAGCTTGGACAAGTCACCCCTCTGGGTCCCTCCATCTCTAGGATTCTGTGGCCACAGGACTGGAAGCAAGCATTGAGCTTTCCAGAGGAGATCATCACTCCTAGCAACCATGTCAACAGGAAGTCAATTTTCATATCAGCATCTCTTTGATGTATACTTTTAAAACTACCAAGACTTTTCATTTCTTTAAAAAGTGTTTTTAATTATAAAATACATTATGCTTGTTGTAAAGAAATTCAAATAGGCCAAAGAAAATAAAACATCAAAGCCTGCCACACCCTGGAGGTAACACTGCTTACAACTGCTTACATACCCTCCCAGAAAATACTATGCTTAAACATATGCATACATACACAGACACAGACATCCCTTTCCTGCACAAACAGGGCTAAACTCTACATGTTGTGCATCTCTGTGCTTCAGTATCATGTATAAATATCTACTACAATCTTTGTATGGCTGCATGGTATTCCATTGTATGGCTATATTATAATTTAACCAATACTCTCCTGATATACATTTAGGTTGCTTCCAATTTTTCTGTTATAAACAGTGCTATAGCAAAAAATCCATAGACATATCCCTATACTCTTCTGTAACTTTTTTAGGATAAATTCCTAGATGTAAAAACTACAGAATCAATGTTTAAATAGGTGCTGCAAAACTGCCTCCAGAACAGTTCAATCAGTTTCACAGTCCCATTGAAAATGTTTAAAAAGGTTCATTGATAGCCCATACACTTGCTGGCATGAGATATTTGTAATCTTTTAAACTTTTTTCCATTTAATAAAAATGATAGCTCATTGGTTTTTTTAAAAAAATATTAATATATATTATTGCTTTTAATTTACATTTCACAGGTCGTTAGTGAGGTATACATACTAAAAAACGTAAGACAGCATTTTAATTCTAATCCTTCTTGTAGCTTCTTGTACTGGTCAGAACATTTTCCATTTATTCCCAAGAACGCCCCATATATTCCTTTTTGTCTCTTGGGGATAAATTGGTCAATTGGGGAGTTGAAACTATGAGGTATGATTATCAACTTCAAAGAATTACTTTTGTTTTTGATTTCTAATTTTTTTTTGAGATGGGGTCGTCTTGATGTTGCTCAGGCTGGCCTCCAACTCCTGGGTTCAAGCGATCTTCCCATTTCAGCCTCCTGAGTAGTTAGGACTACAGGCGTGCACCACTGTACCCAGCCTTATTTCTAATTTTAAAAGTAATAAACTATAAGAAAAAGACTAAATCTTCAAATAAGTCAGGTATCATTCTCTTAAAGTAGTCCCAAGTTCTTTACTTGTCCTAATAATGGGATCTTATCTAAAACATGGCCAAGGCTGGGCAAGGTAGTTCACGCCTATAATCCTAGCACTCTGAGAGGCCGAGGCGCGGAAGGCTCGCTCAAGGTTTCAAACCAGCCTGAGCAAGAGTGAGACCCCCCATCTCTACTAAAAATAGAAAGAAATTAATTGCCCAACTAAAAATATATAGAAAAAATTAGCCAAGCATGGTGGCACATGCCTATAGTCCCAGCTACTCGGGAGGCTGAGGCAGGAGGATTGCTTGAGCCCAGGAGTTTGAGGTGGCTGTGAGCTAGGCTGATGCCACGGCACTCTACCCAGGGCAACAGGGTGAGACTTTGTCTCAAAAAAAAAATAAATAAATAAAACATGGCCAAAAGGCTTTTAGCCTTTTAGCCTTGTCTTATCATTGACCTTTTTCAACGTGATTGACCAGAATGTAAGTATAAGGAGGGCACATCTGCCTGTTTTGTAGCTATAACAATGTCCAGAGTGCCTGGCACAACTCTCAATAAATGTATGCTGCATAAATCATTGCACAGATGAGATGGATGGATGGATGGGTGGGTGGGTGGATGGATGGATGGATGGATGGATGGATGGGTGGGTGGATGGATGGATAGGCGGATAAGCAAAACATGTTGAGAGGTGGCTAAAAAAAAGACAGCAGTTCTCCTGGCCACTAATACTGAAGGCAAGAGGTTTTGTTCCAAAAAGTAGTTTTGATGGCTTCTATGGAATACATGTATGGTCTGTTATGGGGACTACCTCAAAAAAGGTGATGCTTTCTTAGATATGTATATTCTGGTATATATTTTTAAAATTATGCTTCACATATTATAACAGTTACATAAGAAAATATATGTGGCTCCCCACATGCAGAGCAGAAAGGCTAAGAGTACAGCCTGTAGAATGAGTGCTAACTCCAGCTCTGCTATGTTCCCTGAGCCTTGGTTTCCTCACCTGTACACTGGGACAGCAGGACCTACTACATAGCAGTGTTGTAAGGACTCAAGAAGAGACATATACTTTCAGGATTTCAGCAAGGTGCTCAGTAAGCAGGGCCTGTTTGGATGTTCCAATAGCTACAGCCAACTGAATCATACCGAGCTTGAAGCCTGCTAGAATCTGACCAGTCCGAGAAGAAAAGCCTGAACAAGAATGAGCCTACCTCCCACTTGCATCCCACATGCCGGGTAGATGATTTTCCAGGGGGCATCCAAGGTACCTTGGTTTTCACCCGGACACTTCGCCGCACATTCACGGTGTCCCCTTTCATTCCTCGCTTATGAGATTTCTGTGGAAAGGGACAAACTCAGGGTCACTTTTACACCCAGCTAGCCACAATGTCACTCTGGTGGCATCCACCTCCAACTCTGCAAGGAAGCCTCTGCTAAGGTTACTCTGCTGCTTTGACAGGCCTGCCTACCTTTCAACCAGGTAACTGACCTCTGAAAGAGAGTGTTTGTGTCCCAAACCTCTGGAGTCAGAAGTGCAAGGAGGCTGGGTTGAAAGGTATCACTCTGATCCACAGCTGTTACCTCGCCCCACTGGCATGCTCCTACCTGGCTGTTGGTCGCTGATGGTTTCGGGAATTTTTTTATGTGGACGTGGACAGGGGTGTTCTCATCCACGTGAACATGTAAGGGGGGAGTTGAAGAGCGGTCCTTCATGGTTCGCTTCTGGCAGGCAGGGGAGGATAACACAAAAATGGTTGATCTGTGAATGAGTAAACTGGACATAAAAACAGAGCTCACAGCCTCTGGGGGCCACCAAAAGCCTAGCCACCAAGCGAGCAGGACAGCTACCAACTACTGGCATGCAGGAAGGCACCAAGGCAGGAGTATCATTCAGCAGGCTCCTGCAGAGATCCCAGCTAAAGACCACCAGGGAGACCCAGGGCCACTCAATAGAAGGGTCTGCGAGACCCACCAGTTCTACAAGAGAGTCCACACCCAGGCCCCAGGGGCCTCAAAACTGAATCTCCTTCTAAGCCTGCTGGAATGCATAGCTCCTCCTTGGGTTTAGTGTAGCACAGCTGGAAAGCAGGTGGATCCTTCTACACAGGAATCTCAACAGGACATGCAGATGAGCACGGGAAACACACAAAATGGGCAGGGTGCAGAACAAACCAGACAGCAGGCAGATGAAAGACTGCGGAAACAGAAAGCTGGAGGAAATGCCAAGGGTGAGAAGGCTGTATAGATTCTAAAGAGGCTGGGCACGGTGGCTCATGCCTGTAATCCTAGCACTCTGGGAGGCCTAGGCGGGTGGATCGCTCAAGGCCAGGAGTTCAAAGCCAGCCTGAGCAAAAGCGAAACCCCGTCTCTACTAAAAAAAAAAAAAAAAATACAAATTAATTGGCCAACTAATAGAAATTAATTGGTCAACTACATAGAAAAAATTAGCCGGGCATGGTGGCGCATGCCTGTAGTCCCAGCTACTCGCGAGGCTGAGGCAGGAGGATCACTTGAACCCAAGAGTTTGAGGTTGCTGTGAGCTAGGCTGACGCCATGGCACTCTAGCCACAGCAACAGAATGAGACTCTGTCTCAAAAAAAAAAAAAAGATTCTAAAGAAAACACAGGCAGGGCAGAACCCTAGCTACATACCCCTCACCCACCACCAAGTCCCATCCATCACCCCATTCTTTTAATTTTTTTCTCTTCTTTTTCTTTTCCTTTATTTTATCATTGTATTTCTTTAAAAATCTGTTTTAAAGATTTTAGCGTTTGCCTGGAAGGATAAGGTCAAGACACTCTCCTCACACTTGGCAGCTTTACCACAGACCAAAAAAGAAGAAATCAGCAGTATGTGCATAACAGCACCTAGCAGAGCACCTGGGCCACAGTGGTGCCCGGCAGGTAAGGCAGCTCCTAGAAAAGGTGTGCAGAAGCGTTTCTGGCAGGGTCACAGACCAGAGAGAGCTGCTCTGTGAGCAGTCACCTACCGTCACAGTTACACTGGGTGCGCCACAAGGTGTTCTCAAGACTTTTTTCTGCGTGAGACTTGTTACTCCGTTCTTCCCACACGATGGAAACCTGCACCCAGGCACAAGAACCAGATTATAAGCAAAACATTAGAGCTCTCTTATTTCTTAGATCTCCCAAAATTACACCCAGCACATGGTAGCTAACAAGTTCATGGCTGGGAGAGCCAGCCTGGAATTGGCTCCCTTTAGACGAGAACCAGACATGCATGGTATGCTCAGCAGTAGGATGGAAACAGGTTGACAGGCATTCACATGCTGGTTTTTTAACCTGCAACCGCACCACACATATTGTGACCTTCACTGAAAAGCCTAGCTATTATCCTGTCAGATGATAGAAAGCAGGCAGCAGGTGAGCAGCAGCCAAGCTGCTAATCTGGCAGAGGGTGGAAGTGCCCAGGACAGTGCCTGGGGCAGAAACCACCCTGGAGAAATGCTCAGTGAATGACTGACATAAAAATACAAAGCACCTAGCACTCTGGGAGGCCAAGGCGGGCAGATCATTTGAGCTCAGGAGTTAGAGACCAGCCTGAGCAAGAGGGAGACTCCGTCCCTACTAAAAATAGAAAGAAATTAATTGCCCAACTAAAAATATATAGAAAAAATTAGCCGGGTATGGTGGTGCATGCCTGTAGTCCCAACTACTTGGGAGGCTGAGGCAGGAGGATTGCTTGAGCCCAGGACTTTGAGGTTGCTGTGAGGTAGGCTGAAGCCAGGGCACTCTAGCCAGGGCAACAGAGTGAGACTCTGTCTCAAAAAAAAAAAAAAAAAGACAAAGCATTAGGCTCAGAAATAAAAAGTCACTATGACTCAACCTCTCTAAACAAAGGCTCAAATAGTCACCCAACAGGATGAAAAAGTATCTATTTTCTAAAATAGTTCACTTGCTACCCTTTAAACCCCTAAGCAGCAGATTTGGTTGATTGCCATGTGCAACTGACCTTGCTACACATATGCTGTACAGCCCCTTCAGCAGATTTGCAAAGATAGCAAAAGTTTAATCTGCTCTAAAATCTGGCAGCAGTATATCCAAGAATTTCAGGATGGGAAGGACTGGAATAATCATTTGATCCATCCCTTTGCCTCCTGACAGCCCCAAATTATCACCATGCCCTCCCCACAAATGCTTGGGGAGGTAAAAATATATCAGCACTTTAGTATGCATTTTGCTATTTGTATATCACACCTTGATTTAAAAAAAAGAAAAAGTATATATTTATTGAGCCCTGCCAGTCACTTAGCCAAGAAATACAGAAACTGAGAAGACAGATTTTCCCCCCTCCTAGTTTAGAGCACTGTTGTTCACTTAAAGCCAATAGCTTTGGCAAATCTCTTCCTCAATGTGCTTCCTGTCAAAACACCCGGATTCCATCAACACCTCCTAACTGCCACATCCACCTCCAACATGACCGTGATTTATTTACACCAGGCCTCCTCTCAAAAGCTCTGAACCTGGTACTCCACTGAAGACAACAAGGGTGACCCTGTTTGCTAGCAAGAAGCTGGGGCACCTGGACAGGGAAGTAGCGAAGAAGGTAAAGATGGGATATTGTGTGTCATTTGTTTCCTCCTTCCCTATAAAAATAATTTTAAAATGTTTTAGTCCACACTTTCAATACACAATACAAGGAAGCTGAAAAGAGAAGCCTCTAACAAGCCTGGTCTGGGGACCCCTGACCACCTTTCCCTGCCCTACAGCGGAGGTGCCCCCCCACATCGGCAGTACCTGGGGGAGCCGCCTGAGGACGAGGCAGACATGGCTAGGCATCAAAGCCGCAAAGGTGGGCAATTGGGTCAGCAGGCTCTGCTCAGGGGGACCCAGAGGGGCTTGTCAATGAGAATCTCAGGGGCACGGCATCAAACGTCCTCTCTGAGGGGAGGAGTGTGGAAGCTTTGGGGGTGGCAGTTGGATGAAAACTTGGGAGACGCTCCTCTACTGTCCAAGTCGCACAGCAACTGTCCTGCCAAAGTGGGGGGAGATAGGAGAGGCTGAGCGACCTGCGGGTGGGTGGTGAGGCAGGAGCTCCCCTCCCCAGGGAGGGAGGGGGGTGGAACTACAACAAAGGAAGGGACTTCCATGCCTCGGCCCCACCCGGGAAGGAGGGTGGGTGGCTACCAGGGGAAAACCTGAGGTGCTGGCTGAGGAACCGCTAGGCCCCAAGTGGGGCCCAAGGGGCCGGAACCCGCGCAGGGAGCTGCAGGGATATTCCGGGCGGGACCAGGGCAACTGTCTCCTAGGAGAAGGGGCGTTCCCGGCAGAATAGGTACCGGAGAGGACCAATAGTATTTGAAGGAGGGAGGAGCAGAGACTACAAGGGGACAAGAGCACTGGGCCGCGAGCCCGGTACCCCCGACTGCAGGCGGAAAGCCCTCCCCAGCGCAGCAGGGGCCAGCTGGGGCTGAACATCCGAGCTAGGGAGGGTCAGACACCAGGCTGTGCGGGGAGCGGGCAGGAGCCTGGTGAGGTCCCAGGCGGCCTGGAGGCGGTGCCCGGGGGAAAGCGAGGCCTGCGACGACCGGGCGAGTAACTGCTGTGCCGAGCCCGCAGGAAGGAAGAGGCGGACCAGACAATGCCCGCCGGCGGGCAGGAGGACGAAGGGCCAGCCTCCCTCGGTGGAGAGAAGGGACCGTCACCCACCAGCAAGCAGGAGGGGACCAGTTTCTGCCCATAGAGAGAAGGGCGAAGCCCTGCCTGAGGGCGACAGAGGAGGGGGCAGAGCCCTGCCGGTGGCCAGGAGAGGACGGAGGCGGCCGGCCCGCCCGTTAGCGGGAGGAAAAGAAGCCCCGCGCCGGTGGGCGGGGCGGGGCGGGGGCCAGATTCTGACCGGAGAGGGACGAGCGAGCGCGCCACCCGGCTGGAGGCGGGCGCCACCCGGACGAACCCGGCTGGGCCGACCGCGCCGGGGGTGCAGGAGCGGGGCGATCTCGCCCTCGGGGACCGAGCCCAGCGGCGGCCTCTCACCAGGAGCGACACGGCTGCGCCCAGAAACGCCTTCTTATGAAGTCGTTGAAGTCGGAGGCCAGGGTCGTGCCATGGAGACGCCGGGGCGGATGCAATCCGGCTCCAGCGGCGGCTCCTCCCCTCTTCCGCCTCCTTTTCCGACTCCCAGTTGGCAGCTCGCCCATTGGCCAGTTCAAACCCCCCCGTGAGCCGCTCGGGTTTCGCCATTTAGGTCCAGCCCCTGGCGTCACAGAGATGCCCCGCCCCGCCAGAAGCTCCGCCCACTTCCGGGCCACGCGGCCTGTCGCCATGGAGGCGCGACGCCTCCAGCTGGCCTTGTCGGGTCTTGACCCGACGTTCAAGGAGAGGCTTCCCCTGGCGCCATGTTTGCGGCTCACTCCCATAGCTCACAAGAGCACCGTCGCTCTGCTGCCTTCCCTTTCAGCCATATTGGTACACTAGGCCCAGAGAGGGCTTACAAAGGCAGGAGCTGCGCACGGATCCTGGAAATCCAGTCCTGTCCCAAGTCTACTGTTAGTGCAGCCATTTTTTCCCCTTCCGACATTGCCTCCTTGTCCAAGCAGGAGGAAGCGTTGGCATAACCCTTGCTCCTCCCTGCCCTCCTGCACACTGTATGCCGCGCAGTGTACACACCTTCTCTGACGAGGTTTCCGCCGGGCTGCCATCTTCTCAAATCTGCTTCCCTGTCAGCCAATCCTAGGGGGCTGTCACGTGGCTCACGGTGCCGCCCTGGATTCTGGGAGACTGCCAACCTCTGGGCCAAACAAGCCTCAGTTCCTTGACCTCCTTATCTCCAGTGACCTCCCCTAGCCCCTCAACTGTTCCATGTGAACTCTTCCCAAGAGAGCCTGTTTTTCTGCCTTCATTCTCACAGTCTAATACATTATACATTTGTTCTTCAGTGTTAGGGAGCCCTCTGCTCCCTTTCTCCATTCACCCTGAAAATGAAGTGATGAATCCCCAATCCCTCTGTAACCCAACCATCTGAGGCTCTGCAAAGATCAAATTCACAAATCATTGCCTCCACCCTCAGCTGAGCCCCAGACACTGTCCAGGAATTGTTCCATTTGTACCTAGACCTTCCCAACGGTGGCTTTTCCAAACCTTTATCCCTTCCCCATTCTATACTCCCAATTCTCCTTTTTCATAGAGAAAAATAAAGCTATCAATTCCTTCAACTTTCTCCCCACCCTCTCTCATCTTTAACATCCTTCACCCTTAAGTCCCCCTTCCACAGTAGAGATGTGCCTCTTGCTGCCTAGGATAAACTTGCTGCTTCAAGGCCTAGGTCAAACATCCCTGTCAAATATTCTTGTTACACCCAAGACAGAATTGTTGATTACTTCTCAGTGCTCCTACATTCATTGAATCAATATTTATCAAGTCACTAGTATGTACCAAACCCAGTTTGAGGTGTCCTAAGACCAACATATCCCATCCAGTCTCCAAAGTGCCCACTGCCAACCATTCTAATGTAACCAGACGAAATGAGTAAAGCTTCGCTCTCACCCTCCACTAAAGGGATTTGCCTATGTAGTTTTATTCTCTCCCCACCACCTGACGAGGGTCTTTCCCTGCCAGTGCAGTTCTTTGGGCTTTGGGGATGGATGATCTGAAAATGGGCAGCATTAAGGGACCACCCATGCCCGCAACACACACACACACACACACACACACGCTGGGTGAGAAGAAGGAGGAAAAGCTCCTTAGAAGACAGGGAACAGGGAGGTACTGGAGAAGAAGTGGTGAAGACAGAGGCTCAGGGACACCTGCAGTATGTGAAGGACATGGGATGAGGAAGAGAAGGGGAATTTTATGAAGTGTAGCTGTGGTCTGTCCCTTTTGTGGTGTTTGAGAAATACAAATAAAGACCTTGAGTTATTCTGGTTTTACTTTGGATTTCTGGACGGTGTTTTCTAGTTGCAAACCACTCTGAGCCAGCGAGTGGTGGCATGTGTTATGAAGCATCATTACTTCAGTCCCATGATGTGTTACAGGGACAGTGGTGAGAGACATCCCGCCGAGATCAGCAGGACCTGACTAGGAAGAGTAGAGTAGGCCAGCCTAAGATGTTTGGACTTTATCCCCCAAAGGAATCGGGAGCAATAAGAATTTTTTTTTTTTTTTTTTTTTTTTGAGACAGAGTCTCGCTTTGTTGCCCAGGCTAGAGTGAGTTCCATGGTGTCAGCCTAGCTCACAGCAACCTCAAACTCCTGGGCTCAAGCGATCCTCCTGCCTCAGCCTCCCGAGTAGCTGGGACTACAGGCATGTGCCACCATGCCCGGCTAATTTTTTCTATATATATTATTTGGCCAATTAATTTCTTTCTATTTATATTAGAGATGGGGTCTCGCTCTTGCTCAGGCTGGTTTTGAACTCCTGGCCTCGAGCCATCTGCCCACCTTGGCCTCCCAGAGTGCTAGGATTACAGGCGTGAGCCACCGTGCCCGGCCAATAAGAGTTTTTAAGTAAAGGAGTAACATGTTAGAAATTTCACTCTGCTTGGAGCATGGATTGCAAAGACCAGAAAGCATGTGGAGAGGAGAGGCCTGTGCAATATTAACTCTCACTAGATTGCTTGACCACTGCCTGCTGGCCAGCTCAGTGTCCCCATTGGAACATGGATCCCTTGAGGACTCAGATGCTATCACAGCCATGTCTGTATCCCCAAGAGCCAAACTGACTTGAACACAGCAGTCACTCTGTCATCAAAAATTTTTTGAATGAGGCGGAAAAGTTAAACTCCAAGCGAGCTGCACATTGATATCAGCTCTGAGTCATGTGATTTGGTCAGTTCCTTTCTGCTTCGTCAAGCGCTGGTGACAGATTTAGAGTTAACTAGCTCACCGCCGCCGCCTCTGTCTGCAAGGTCACGCTTGAACCCCGAACAGCTTTTCTTTGCACGCCTGACTTTAGACGCTTCTTGTGGTTGGATGAGGAAACTGAACTTGCCCCAAGTCACATGGCCGCCACCACTGGTGACATGCCAACCTACCAGATTCGAGCTCCTACTACTGCTTTGCCCCAGGGAGTGGTGATGGCTGCCTGGCCAGGAAGCCTGCACAGTCCCCAGCAGCCAGCAGAAGAAGCAACATGCAAACGAGAGCTGAGGCTAATGAAAAACAGGGAAGCTGCCCGGGAGTGTCGCAGGAAGAAGAAAGAATATGTCAAATGTCTTGAAAATTGTGTGGCTGTGCTTGAAAACCAAAACAAGATTCTGATTGAGGAACTCAAGGCCCTCAAAGATCTCTATTGCCATAAAGCAGAGTAACTGTCTTTGACTTGGACCTTGTTTACTATGAACTCTAATCAAGGCAGGAGATGCAGCAGTTCTACTAATTGCCATGTGGACTTTTATGAAAGGGACACTTTTGACCCCTTAAGAATCCAGTTTGGTTTAGTGTTTGAAATTGAATTGGGAAGGTCGTTCCAAGATTTGGAATGCAACCGTGATCATATTTACCTTCACTCTGTTTGTCAGTAGCATGCAAAAAAATGTTTTGTTTGCCCTTTTGCTTCTACTCTTTTCAGGGAAGCTGCGAAAGAATGTCGACGTCGAAAGAAAGAATATGTCAAATGTCTGGAGAGTCGAGTGGCCGTGCTGGAAGTCCAGAACAAGAAGCTTATAGAGGAACTTGAAACCTTGAAAGACATTTGCTCTCCCAAAACAGATTAGTAGTAATATTTAACTAGGAACTGATTACAACATGTACAGTTACTTTTGAAGGCAATACAATATATAGCTGGCAAGAATTATGGCATTTTTTCCCCTTTTTATCATTCATCTATTCTCTAATCTCTAACATTCCTAAAATGCTTCACTGTACGTAGTTAAGTCTTAGCTATAAACTTCAAATTTTTTTAAAAGAGACAAACTGTAAAAAAAAAATGAATGTAACAAATTCTTAAAAAATGCAATTATTTGTAAGATTTGTTCCAATGCCACCCATTTGCAGTTCCCAACCTCTATGTCATGAATAGTGTCCTATGCAATAAAATATTTTGCAGGTCTTTCAAAATCATTTTAGGGAAGGATGATCAGAAATAATGCATCCAGCAGTACAATAAAAGTAAACCACAAAACATACCTCAGGAAAGAACTGAAAGAAAGTATATCTAATGACATGCCTATATGAGAATAATAGCCTAGAAATGAATTTATGGCATTTGCGGATTTTTATATTAGTTGCTTTGTAAAAGAAAAGATTGTATTGCTGTCCTTGAATGCCACCGTTGAACAGAGTTTTTAATAGAACCATGTTGGTTGCACTTTGTAGTGTTTGGTGCTCATTTAAATATCTGAGCATTTGCTACAGTTTTTAACTTTATTGTGTAACATAAAAGATCTTGCAGAAAAAAAATTTTTTTGAATGAATATATGATGAATAATATTAATATGCCACTTATCATCGCCCTTAATCCACACAACTCTATGAGAAAGGTGCTACCAATGAAAGAATAAAGGAGTGTGAGGACTTTGGGTCCAGTCCCTGCTGCCCTGTGGGACCCTAGACATTTCATTTGCCCCCAAAGGGTCCTGGTCCCCACTTCCCATGCAAGGGAGTGTGTCAGTGTCTGGAACAGTGCTCCTCTTCCTTTTTTTGATCAGAGAAGCAGAGGAACAGTGCTCCTCTTCTAACCACTCTGGCTAGGAAGGTGGAAGTCGTTTATGAAGACCAGGTAAGGAATGAAGTCACTACTTACATGTCAGACAAATGACTCTACATGTTATATGCAAAAGGATTCTCAGTACTAAGAGCCTCCCAGTCCATGTGATATATAACTTGAAGTACGAAATGGCAAAATGAATGGACACCCCACAAACTGGGAGAGAAAATTGGGGGTGCAGAGAAACTATTTGAGAATAGTGACATGTATTCTGGATGGCTCAAGCAGAGGAATTTCCCATCATTATGGTGGTCTTCATGCCTGTAATCCAGCGATTTGGGACGCCAAGGAGGGAGGATTGCTTGAGGCCAGGAGTTTAAGATTAACCTGGGCAACATAGTGAGATGGAGTGAGACTCCATCTTTACAAAAAAATTTTAAAAGTAGCCAGGCATGATGGTGCATGCCTGTAGTCCCGGCTACTTGAAATGCTGAGATGGGAGGATCACTTGAGCCCAGAAATTTCAGGTTACAGTGAGCTATGATCACACCACTGTACTCCTGCCTGGGCAACAGAGTGAAACCTT